GTTTCTCAGGATCCACATAAGAGTAAAAACGTATGGTATCTGTCTTCCTCTGTATGACTTATTTCACTTGGCATAACACTCTCCAGTTCCATCCACATTGCTACAAAAGACCATATTTCATTCTTTCTCATTGCCAAGTAGTATTCCATTGTGTAGATAAACCACAATTTCTTTATCCAAGATTTTTAAAATACATTTTACCTTACAGAATATTAGCTATGATAACTGTTACTCAGTAATTTCATTTTCCTGAAATGGATAAGATGCCAAAACTCATATTTCAAAGAATTGGTTACACAGACCTTTCTACCATGTTGATGTGGGGACCTGCAAATCTGTCTCTTTCTTAGGGAACTTGTTCATTTTATTTAATTCAGTCTGGCCATTCCAGTGTTGAACATAGAAGTGTATGCCACTTCAGGGGAAAATTTCTTTGTGTGTTTCCCTCAGTGAGCCAAAAAATAACATTTTATTTATACCAGAGACCCTAAGTGATGGCAAACTAAGGTAGTAGACTCTTTAGCTTACTTTGTGCCCTTGGTTGTCACTAGAATAAGATCTGCTACTAGGACATATGGTTTTTATCTTCCAAATGTTTCCATTATGGAAAAAAGCCTACTTCTTTATTTCTTTGTAGACATATATAGGTAATTTAAAAATGGGAATGTATTCAGTATATTTGTGTAACTTCCTGTAAATAGTATTATAGGTAGAAATGCCATCATCGGATAATTACAAAATAAATCCTGGTTTTGTAACATAAAACATTTCTGAAGTTATCTCAACTTATATTTTTAGAAAGAAAGAGTTAACAGTGGTTCTGTAGCTCTTTTCTACCTCTGTTTTGATACTGACCAATCTCCTTATAAATATAGACCATGGGTTTACTAGAGAGAAAATAAATGAGGAATCTGGAAGAGTTGCTATGTGCCAATTACTGAACCCGGAATCTTCTAGCAGGATATACTTCTGCAAGGTTTTCAATTGTAAATAATCCTGCCATCTCTGGATCTCTGGGCGGCAGCTACACGAAGAATTATTAGTTATATGACCATTATACCAATACGAGATTAGAAGTGGGTAAAATTTGAGAGACTCTAAAGCCTACTAAACTCATCCTTCTGGAGAGCAAAACATATAGTGGTAAAAGAGGATTTGAGAAGCTGTGTCTGATGAATGTGCAGTTCCTGGGTCTTTACAAGGCTTATGCTGCTTCTCCTGTTTTGTTTCCTTTGTGACTCATTTGTAAAAAGCTTGGATTTCATGGCATCCTACTTGGCAATCTGGGCCTCTGTGATCATGCAATTTGTATAATGTTTTTTTTTACATTTTTTTAAATTAAATCTTTATGAAAGTTCTGCAGTGTAAGTGCACATGCTAATGGTTATGTTTTAGAAAGGAACTTACGCTAGGGTGGTGATAGTAACTGTAGGAAATCTAGAGCAGTAGCAACAATCCATTTAGCTGATGGTGTGCTAGGCCCTTAATTAATTCACTTATTTCACAGTTGCTCAGCATACAGAGGACTGTGCTTCTGGATCTTTCTCTTTCATGGACCCCATCTAAGCCCTTGAGAGATCAGCTAGAAATATGTTCTCATGGTCTTATAATTGGTATGATTTGCGCAAGTAGTATTCTTTAACTATGATCTCTTAGGAATATTGTCTTTCCACTCCAATTTCTCTTTGGCATTTTTTTCTTGTGTTGGGTGGTAAGGAAGAAGCCGGGAAGGAGGAAATTCAATTAGAGATTCATTTATTTAGAGTTTATTGAATAAGTTTACATGGTTGGGGTATAATTATACAGCTTTCAGTTAATATTCATGTATAGTTAATGCCAGTAATCCTGGTATAGGAATGGCTTTCTGGAATAATCCTATCACCTACTGTGTTGTAAGAAAAAGTGTGAGGACAGAGTTTGTATCATGGCATGCATGTATCTTATGGTGCCCAGAGCCTGAAATCTATTGGTAGTGGAGAGAAAACAAGGTATAAAATGTGCAGAATCAGAAGCTAGCTTGTGGAAAATTCTCACAGATTTGTAGTGCACATATGAAATAAATGTATAGAGATTTTCTTAAATTAAAAAAAAAAAAACCTAGGGGCACCCTAGGTGGCTCAGTCAGGTGAGCATCTAACTTTGGCTCGGGTCATGAGCTTGCAGTTTGTGTTTGAGCCCTGCATCGGGCTTTGTGCTGACAGCTGAGATCCTGGAGCCTGCTTCCGATTCTGTGTCTCTCACTCACTCTCTCTGCCCCTCCCCCACTCTCTCTCTGTCTCAAAAATAAACATTAAAAAAAATTTTAATAAAAAACCTAAAAATTTTTAAATACTTACCAGTAACAAGATGTGAAATGGAAAGAAATAGCTCTAAGCTATTGATAATAAAAGTCATTTTTTTAAGTGAGAGAAACATTCTTTCTATCGGAAATTAAATTATAAAATTCTCATATGAAGAGGCATTCAGAGATTGAAGCCAAAACATAAAGACATAGAATAAAAGTATTACAAAAGTAATTAATGAAAACATTGATTTTTTTTCCATGTGGATTTTGTGATACTTTTGGTATGGGTCCATTTTTTAAGTTAATAAATTGTTGCAATACTTTTTTCATTCAAAATAGTAACTTCCGTAATGTTTTTTTGTATTTGTTATTTTGTATTTATTTTTAAAGAGTAATGCCAAATTTCATGTGCATCCACTCATGCCAGGTTCCATCCAAGATGAATATTATTCTCCATAGTTTATCCATACTTGGGCCAAGAGTAGAATGTCATATTATATGCTTTTTCCCTTCCACTGAATTTCTTTTTGTTCAGATTAAATCAACTATAAAGGAGAGAAAAAACTCCAACGCTATGTGGAAGGCCATATCTAGATGTCAAGGCATAGAAAAGGATAGGGGATTCAGTTATTTATTCATTAATTCTACTGAGTGCCAAATTTGAGCCTGTTTAATTTAAATGGACAAATAATGCAGCTTCCCCAATGCATGTCAATATGCAAAATATTCTCTCCTATTGCCATATATTCATTAAATTGCCTGATGTATGGAGTTTCTCTTGATAAACATCATTACATATTACATATTATACACTTTGTGTATAATTTAGAGGCTGTATTTCAAACAAAAGATCTGGAAATATTTGTAGTGCTGACATTATGAACATATGTTTGAGACTTTGCAAAATGTTTAATTATGAAAAATATCTTTCTGAAATTATAAGTATAACCTACCTTAATTTTGTAAACAGAGTATTACTATGGAGTGTTTTTATTTTTGACATGTGGAGAATTTTAAACATTTGATCTCTGAAGGTTAATATTTGTTTCCAGAAGTGTAAAACTATTCTAATCTGTATGGTCAAGAAACAGAATCAAAACCTTTTCTGCAAGAGAGAGTAATTTGGAACCTATTTAAGAAAGAGAGTGACTAATCCAGGTAGACAAGACTTGAGTTTATTTATACGATTCATATCTCCCTTCTTTAAAGGACATTTACAAACTTGATTTCAAAAATAAAAGAATTTCTGAATGACAAGTGTTCACGTTTTAATTTCAATATTACAGGTATGCTCTTTTGTGATAAATTATCAGTTGAAAATGTTCCAGTGAAATCTGGTATCAATTAATTTAACACTTCATATAAGAAATAAAACATTTATTTTCAAGTCTTACATATATTACTTAAAATAGATACAAAGTTCAATTTGTAATTTTTAAATTTTATTGCTATATCAAGCTAGCTACCTGGAAGAAAATACCTTAGTGGGGGAAAAAAAAAGGTTTTGATTGTTTTAATAAGTATGACTTTTAAAACAAGCACTGTTAGTAACAATCCACCCATATGTTATTTAGGAATTAGGCAGGTCAAATAATGTATATTATTTTGAAAGAAAAGGAATAGTAATTGTTGGATAGGTGCAGGAAAATAATATTTGAAGACTATAATATGCAGCTTGGAATCAAATTCAAGAAGTTGACTGATTAGAAATTATAACAATGAACAAATTCATAAATAATTGCTTAGTTCCCATCTTTTAATATTAATCTGCATGATTGAAGCACACTGAAACAACGAGATAAGGTCGTAAAAAAATTGTACATCTGATTGTTTAATGGAGGCATTGCTTTGTTAAAATAGCTTCTTATACATATTTTCCTGTCCAAAAATATAAACTTGCTTATTTTCCATATATACAAGTATCCTGTGAAATTCTGGACTCTGAAAAGGAAAAGGTTGAGGTGTAGCACTGAATAAAGCATTAAAATGCAATGGTATTTTTGGCTGAAATTCAGCAAAGTTACTGTCAGTAGAGAAGAGTTGATCCAAGTGTGCTTCCAAGAATCTTCTAGGTTTTTGCCCCTATGAGAAATTTGTTGGCGACATCAAATAATTGAACTCTTCAACATCAATATATACAAAGGCATTTTATTTTTAATCAACGAAAGGGACTTAGAGTCATCAGAAATTTCAACTTTATTTTTTCATAATACATATATTTATTGCCATGATAGTTCTGCAATTGTCATAAAATTAGAGTCAGATGGAATTCAGAGACACGTGCAAGTTTTGGAAATGGACACATAGATAACAGTATAGAACTGTACATAAAATAATTACAATTTATTAAACATACTTTTAGCACATCCTTGATGGATGGGAATGAGCACCATATCTTTTATGAATATATATTGTTCTGTTTTTTTTTTTTCCTACAGCACCAAAGAAATCCAAATAGGAAAGGGAGAGATGAAAATTGGGAATCAAGAATAAGGCCTGTTTCCATCTCAGCCACACTATCTTATATTTTATGATTTTCGAAGCTTTTGTCGTGTGATTCTGCCCCCACAAGGACATCGGGATTTCTAATCGGTACGTATATACTCAGCAAGTTGTTTTCTATACCATCCTTATTCAAAACTTGCATGTGGCATAAAATGGCTTGGTGGCACCAAGATATTTTTTCTGTTGATTTCAGATGTTCTTTGTCCTAATCTTAGCCAAGAAAACAAACAGGACCAACTTCAAATCCAAATTTCTGATTCTGATCACCAAAGTCATTGATCATTACATCAACGATAGGTACTTGATCAATTTTCGGTGTATTGATTTCAATCACAGTTTTTTCATAGCCTTTTCTGGACTGTAAAATTAAGCAGAAAGAAAAATTTATACAATCATTTCATGCTTTTAACATATATGCTTTTTTTTTCCTTAGCCTCTGAATGGAGGCAGGAGGGTAAGAAAGAAGAGAGTAAGAAGCAGATTTGCCATTATCTATGTTGTAATTAACTCTTGTTATCACTGATGTCATGTGTAGTTTTAAATTTTGAACGTTGACAGCTGCATTTAATATTTAGCTGTTACCACTCAACTATAATATTTGGATACACTGCATAGATGAAGAGAATCTTACTGAATTGATAAATACAGTTTAACATGAAAACTGATGTTAGTATTGGGTTAGACTCCTACATAAGAATATATCCTTACCATTATAATCATACAATATGTGCATATATATACATGTGTGTGTGTGTCCATAAATATATGTCAAGGTTTCTTAAGAAAAATTTAAATACATTATAGAAATTATAGTACATAAGGTCAAAAGTCAAAGCATTTCTGCTGCTATATATTAATTTTATGAATGATTATCAGTACACTACTATTGGGAAATCCAAACACTTGCTACTTTTAATATGCTTTCTTTTCTTTAATCTGTGGGTACCATACTCACTTTGTTGAAGGCATGGACCTATTTATTTATAATTGTGACCTCTCTTTAGTCATCAGCTAAACCGAGTTTTTTTAGTGTGCTTTCTGTATCATTTTCTTAAATGGAACTCCCATTGTGTGAAAAGGATGGTTTCAGAGGATAGAAATCACAAAAATGTTAGTAACTGCCTAAGGTATAACACAGTCCCAACAGACAAGCCCTTATGGACAAAATACAGGGGTAAGTATTAGCTATGGTGTAAATGGTATAATGCTGATTCCTTTGTCATTTTAGAATCATGGATGAAGGAAGCAAATGAAATAAAGTTTTTTATTATGTTTATTTCAAGAATGACTAGATATAATAGTATTCAAATATCAGGAATAATTCCATACAAATAGCATATGATCTAAGATTACCTTCTGTTATGGCTTTTAAATATGTGCCTATATGTAAGTTTCAGAGTTTGTGTGTATGTATGTGAATATTAGTGGCTTCTAATATATCATATTTCAATATGCCAGTGTTAAGCATCAGATCTTAAAAACAACAGACATCCATTTCATGAGAGATTCCTGACTTAGGGCCAAGCTGAGATGGTTGCACACAGCCTCTCACCCTGTGAAAGAAGGCAAGTGATTATACTCACCGCACAGCCATCATATAGTGCTTTGATGAAAGGGTTGTTGTCATAGGACATCTCCTCATCATTGGATCCCAAGAACCGTAGTGCTTTGTCATAACTTCCTGATGACACATCATACCAGGCTGCTGACTGATGACAGGTGTAGGTGAAATTTTGCCGAGCAGAGGCAGTCAGCAGTTTCAGGAATGTCATTTGCACCATATTAATGGAATTTCCTTCAACATCTAAATAGGAAAGCTGGGAATAAAAGGATAAAAAGACAGACATAGGTTCTTTTACTTTTTTATGTTATAAAAGAATAAAATCACTGTCGACAGTGAACTGTGATCCCAGAAGCATGTGGATGAATCAACTGTCCCATTTTCACTTAGGGAATGAAAGTGGGCAAGGAGGGTCATAAGACCCAGGGACAGGATTTTATGAAATCACTATTGTACTCCCACCTGAGTTACTATGAGCACTACTTATCTTTGAAAAATATTCACTTTATTTCAATGCTGCGTTTTCCTAACATTAAAAATTTCCAAAAGAAAAGCTTTTGTTTCCAAAAGATCTTTCATTATGTTTGTGTATCTTTTTATTTATTTGTTTTATTTTTTTAAAGTTTATTTATTTGAGAAAGATGGAGAGCGCACATGCATGAGCGGGAGAGGGCCAGAGAGAGAGGGAGAGAGAGAATCCTAAGCGGGCTCTGCACTGTCAGTACAGAACCTGAAACAGGGCTCCAAGCATGAACCTGTGAGATCATGACCTGAGGTGAGATCAAGAGTCAGAGGCTTAACTGACACCCAGTCGCCCCTGTGTTTATTTTTAAATTATAGAATTGCAAAATAGTGAAACAATTAGAACTGAGGAATCTCAGTGCAATGGAAAGTTACCTATTTTTGTGTTTTTATTTCACCTACTCCTTTAAAAATTTCATAGTATAGCCACTAGACCCAAAGTTTTAAACATGTTTCTGCATTTTTTGACGCCATAGTTTTCTAAGATGTTTGGTCTTCTATTTCCAGCACAGATCTGCCTGTTTGATCATTCTTAGACAAGGTACTTATTCATCACTGTGTCACCAGCACCGAGCATAATGCCCAAGACAACGCAAAAGAATATATGGTGAGTCAGTAAATACTTATTTTACATTTAGGGCAGGAAAGTAGTTTTAACTACAAATTATTAAAATCCTTTATTAAATTCATAAATGGTTTTATTGGGTAAAATTGAAAGACTGGCGTCAGCTGAACATAGATATTTTTTAAAAATTGAGTAGGAAATTTACCTAGGCTATGGATTAATGTAAAGGTAATTATCTATGGCTTGCTTCTTTTGTTGAATTTACTTAATCCTTACTGATTAACAGCTCAGATAATGAGAAGACTTGTTTAGTTGAAGGAAAAAAAAAAAAAAACTTGGGAAATGAACAGTAAGGTAAACAAACCAAAACAACAAAAAATAACACCACACACACAGTTCTGTGTTATGTATTTTTAAATTCTACACAGGTAAGAGTGTCACATGGATATTTAATATGTAACTTGAAGACTAAACTGAAAAATTATGTTAAGTGGAAAACTTCACTAAAGTTGTCAATTAACGTGTAGGTTTTGCATAAGATGAATAACCATAAAATAGTCATCAATAGAAAATAATAGCTTCTTAAAGAACATTAAACAGTTGCATAATTATTGGGATAAGTGAAAAAGTTTCACTTAAATACATTTATTACTATTTTGAATACACATGTATTTGTAAACAGCTTTTATAATATAAATTTAGTTTTGGCATCTAATCTTAAAATACCTGTAAAAATTATTAATAGTGAACTGGTAATGGTATGAAAATATCTAAGTAAACTTGTGCAATAATCCAAATAAAAGGTCAGGTCAGTCAGTGAACTTTATTTCTAAATGTAACGATCAGAAGAAAAAAAAAAAACATTTCGCCTTCCAAAAGTTTTTACTGAAATAGAGAATAAAAAATAAATTAGGTTTCAAACAGAAAAAAAGATATAGAGTCTGAGACACTAAACACATATTACATTCTCTATACCTGATATTTCTAACATAATTCATTTTTATGATGTCTATCAGGTACTTAATGAAATGCATACTTTATCTGATCATATTTATTGAATTTAGCATATTTCCATGTATTTTGATAGAAAACATTTAGAAAAATTCTCTAAAATACAACTGTGGTCTAAGAAATATAGAAGGAGCAAACCAGAGAACACATGGAATCCTAAAATAGTATAACTCAGTATAGTTATACTATACTATACTATACCTAAAATAGTATAACTCAACTGACTTTCACAGTCAGGGTCGAAGATATATAATTTGAGCTTCATTTGTGAAGTTTAAGATAAACCATTTCATGTTGAGGTAATAACATACCAGTTTTCCTCTCTTAAATTCACTAAACCAGCTTCCTGGTTTCTCCTTTGGCCACGATGATATTCTTACCTGTTGTAAAGGAACAGGAAAATTAGAAAGTAGGTAAAAATTATGAACAGTATTGTTTATATATGCATCAGTAATTTTCTGTAAGACTAAGATGCCAAAGAAGTTTAAAATGGTCTATCCTGAATTACAGAAAATGAGATAAACAGCAAAATTTGAGATATATCCTGTGACTTCCCACTTAGTGCTAAGATTAGTCATTTTCTTCCTGTTTTCTTTAATTGCTCAAAAAGAAGAAGCGGGGGGGTGGGAGAACAACCTGCTGATGGCATACTAAGGGCTGTAGGGGACAAAGGTGGAACTCAGAAGCAACCCCCTGTAAAGGAACCCCTCACAATACCAGTCGAAATCAGTCATCAAGACAGATCCCATCAGTATTTCATAGCCAAGGGAAGCATCCTGAAAGTATTCAGCCAGTAACTAAGGGTGGCATGGAAAAGTCATTGCAGGAAGGAAGCGTAATCATCTCCTGCTGGGAAGAATGTTTAGAACCCTTTATAGATCTGCATTTATTGTTTTGCTTTGCAAGATCAGCAAAATGTAACAGTATATAAGGCTTCACTACAGGGAATTTGAGTTATCAGTGTAAAGAGAGGCATTTCCACGTTCCCTTATTTCTTTGGCAGCTACAGGAACTTTTATTATGCTTTGCTGCCAAGTTTGGATGGGAAACAGAAGTTGCTTTGTCTCCTGCTCCTACTACCCAACCTTTACTGGAGAACTTAACTTCCCTCCTAAAGAGATTAGCCACACTTAAAGCTACTTGTCTTGCCCTAAGGAGGTTCTGTGCCTCTGTATGCCCACACCATTTACTAAGAATGTGATTTATTAAAAGAATACAAATAAAGGCAACATTTACCACCAGAAACTGTTTGAAGAATACAATTATGCTAGTGAAAAACCTTTCCCTATATTAGTAATTTGCCTTTAGCTCAAATATATTGATACTGCTAGGTGAAAATCAAGAAATCTGTTTGAAGAGACAAAACATTTAAAAAGTATGCAAATGTAGACAATATTCTTATGTAAACGATTATAAATTGTGTAGTCTGAACATCATATACAGCTGTGAGTTCTGTCGTGTCATTGGAATGAAGAGTACTATACATGCACTAAAATTTAAGCATCAGCTGTGCTGTGTCATGGAAAACCATAGAATTTTTAGAGCACAAGCAGGTGCATAAAGAATACATCTGGGTAAAAAAATAAAGGAGAGAAGTATTTGTTAACTCTGTGCATCACTTTGGTGTCTTATTCATGTTTATGCAAATGAAATGCTCTAATTACCCTGTAAGAAAAGCAGATAAATGAAAATATGACAGTATAATTTTCCTGTTTAGTTCAATATTGCAAAAACATGGCAGGAACTGTCAACAATCACCACCAAAACAGACTGGTACTTACTCCCTCAGATTTTTTGTCTGGATAAATGCAAGTCTCGCCACCAGACGTGAAATTACAGTAAACTTTGAAGGAATCTCCTGAGCAACCTTGGTTGGGATCAATCCAGTATTCACCTAGAAGTAGGAAAAAATATGTCATGTTAAAATACATTTAAATAAAAAATTGATTGCATGGTATACACATTTTATTAGAAGAATAAAGAAAAATTAATATTGATGGATCTTTTCCTACAAGAATCCCTTTTATGTTTTTGGTCAAATTGGGATAGGAGTTCAGAGAGTTAAAGAGTGACCCTTTGTCTTGTCTGCATCAAAGCTTTGCCCATGTACTTCTCCTGGAACAGTCTGTTATTTCTAGCCTGCCTGTTACTTTTAGGTTTCAGCTTAAATGTCACCTCCTCAAATATTAACATTTAATTATCCACTATCATAAATTACATGCATTTGGAATCAGAGAAACTTAACCCTAAATCCTATATGTATTATTTACTACTTTAGTAATCTGAGTATAATAATTATATTTTTCCTTGGTTTATTCATGTAACAATGGAGACGGTGGAATCTACTTAGCCTTAAGAATCATTTCTTGCATTACTTTAAAAAAATTTTTTGGGGGTGCCTAGGTGGTTCAGTCAGTTGAGCGTCTGACTTCGGCTTAGGTCATGATCTCATGGTTCTTGGATTTGAGCCCCTCATTGGGCTCTGTGCTGACAGCTCAGAGCCTGCTTCAGATTCTGTCTGCCTCTTTAAGCTTCTCCCCTGCTTGCACTCTGTCTCTCTGTTTCTATCTCAAAAATAATAAACACAGAATCCAAAGCAGGTTCCAGGATCTGAGCTGTCAGCACAGAGCCTGACATAGGGCTCAAACTCATGAACTGCGAGATCATGACCTGAGCTGAAGTCAGACGCTTAACTGACTGAGTCACCCAGGTGCCCCTATAATTTTGAATTCTGTGGTAAGCATTTTTTCTCTTGATTTATTCGGTTAATATTGTCATTAAATTTCCTTCAGATAACATAATAATAGCTTAATTACTAAGATACGTCTGTTCAGTAAATTCAGTACACTATGGAAACCATGTCCAGTTTACCTCTAAATTTATTCATCTCCTATTTTTACTGTCAAATCCCTAAATCAAGTCACCATTAATTTCTTTCCTAGATTAAACCAACAGCTCTTTAACTAGCTTCCTTTGATTTCACCTTGCTTCCTTCCAAATTACTTCAAGTCATTTTTCACTTTCCTCACTATTTTTTAGCCATAGAGACCTTTCAGTTCCTTGAAGGCACCAAGATCTTGTCCTCTTTAAACCTATCAAATGACCCATATCCTCTGCCTGAAATACCCTTTTGATTCTTTGCATGACTGGCTACCTCTTTAAGGTTTCAGCCGAAATGTCACCTCCTCAAATATTAACATCCTTTACACAAAATGGATCATCCTTACCTTATCTAAATACTCATTTTTTCCCACAGTATCTGTCATAATATGCTATTGTTAATACTTCCACTTTTCCTGTCTCCTTCATTTGATAATAGTAGCTCAAGGGCATTATTTCTTCTGTGTGTCTACAAATCTCTGCCTGAAGAACAGTGCCTGGCACTGCTAAGTCAGTTAATTAATATTTAATGGCAATTAATTAACCCATTAAGGAATTAATAACGCTGGTCATTATATGGAAACCATGGGGAGCTGTGGTCCACAATGAGCTTTCCATTCCCAAATTCACAAAAATTTTTCTTGACTGCTCAGGTTCTAATTAATCATATTTGTTTTATTTGTGTTGTAATCTTTTACATTTGAACTTCAATTATGTATGATTGTCTCAGCAAGAGCAGAAGTCTGAGTCATTCTCTTTAAAATTACTGAATTACTATTGAACTAAACATATCTTTTCCAAATAAACATATTATAAATTTGAAAACCTTGGACATTAGTTTGAATGGAGTCCTTAATAGCTACCTGTGTTTTAGTTTTAACAGGCTATGCTTGATTAAGATAGGAAGATTTTATGACATTTTCCTTTATGGTGGTGGCTGTTTCTGAATCACATTAAACTTTTCTCTCTGTACTGACTTATTTATATCTCAGTTATAACATTCTTATATGATTGATAGTGCAAAATAATATTTCCCCAAGAGTAAAAAGAGTGAAAAAATATTTCCATATAAAGTGGGAGATTTAAGATCACATAAATATCTGCCCCTTGTTAGTTTAGTAATTGTGTGAGTTTATTAACTAATTCATGATACTTGAAACTGTTTCCTTCTCAGGAAGGGTATGATAAGGTTTATGTTAAACAATAGGTATAATAAATTATCCTGATTATTATTACAAATGAATTGCTCACAGTTCTGATTATTTGTGGATCAATGACATAAGTTTTTGCCCCAAGCTACTATGCTAAGTCTTAAATATTCTGTTCACCAAATTATTATTAAACTGATAGGTAAAATATGATTCAGTTATGCTATAAATCATGTTAACTTCATATCAAGGTAAAATAAGTTCGGTTACAGGATATAAATATATACTAATGTGTACACATGTGTGCACACATAAAACCCATTCTATGATACTTATTACGGGGAAAAAATGAATTTGTGTTCTATAATTGTCCCAAAATGATCTTGTCATAATTTAACGAAACCTTATGTAAGCAGGTAAGGATTTTCTGAAGCAGTTCTTGAATTACACAGTATAAAGGACTTTTTCTGTTTACAAGACTGGAATTAATAATCATTTACTTTAGTTTATTTAGAGTCTATATCAAACATTTAACTAGAAGTAATGGGCTGACCATGCACCTTCATAACTTAGAGGCTCAGTCCCTTTGCTGTGACATGTATTATTAACATACCATCTGGGAAGTCAGGATGGCTGAGTTGCAGGTCTTTGCATGTTCGAGCTGGGTTAGTCTGCGTACCCATGGGAAACTTCATATGTTCGATGTCTTGTTTCAGGGAGTTGAGGGAACCAAATATTTCCTCCATTCCATCTGAGTAGTCAAGAATATTATCACCTGCATCTGCTTGCATGTTTTCGGCATGTCTTCTTGTTTTTTTGGGTGACAAGATTGGTAAAGGCTGAATGACTTCTCCAGGTGGGCCCTGTGAAAGAGATAATGTGCATGTAACTGCTTCCTAAGGTAAAATATTCTGCATAATTATTACTGATGAGGTCATTATTAGAAATTATAGTTGGTTTAGCTTTTCAATGTTTTCCCTACTTTCAATATTTTCTCTAATTGTTACTACATATACATACACATGTTATAAATATTTATATAGAAACTGTGTTAAGTTCTTTTAAAAAGAATCTAGTGGAGATACTGAGGCAGACACACAAATCAGATGATTTCTGGAACTTCTTTTCTTTTTCCTTCCCTTCCCTTTCCCTTTCCTTTCTTCCTAGAGAGACAGAGACAGCAGAAACAGGGGAGAAGCAGAAGGAGAGGGAGAGACAGGATCTCAAGCAGTCAGGATCACTGTGCAGATCCTGACACAGAGCTCGAAGTCATGAACCGTTAAATCATGACCTAAGTCACATGCTTAAGTGACTGAGCTGCCTAAGCGCCCCTGGACCTTTCTCTATATAAGTAGTGTAACCCAGTTTTGTGTGGATATATTGTATGTAACTTTCTTATTTATTAATTAGTCCTTATTTACATGTCCTGTCTCCACAACTAGATTTTAGTCTTTGAAGATTAAAATACCATTTTAAGGTCTTAACCTACCTAATGAGTTGTCTATTGTGCTTGATAATAATTTATATTATGAAACATTAAACTTCTAAAAATACACATTAATTTGCTTCAAATATAACTTAAAACTGTATAAATTAAAAAAAAAATAAATGCAGACAGATTTGAATTTGCATATGTGTAAAAGTAGAACTATACCAAATAGTTAAATCCATGTTGTTATGATTGTGTCCCACAAAATTCATAGGTAGAAGCTATCAGCCTCAGTACTTAGAATAAGATCTTATTTTGAAATGGGGTCACTGTAGATATAATTAGTTAAGTAAATGTAAGGGCATTGGGGGGGGGTATCCACCAATGGGAAACCATCCAATATGACTGGTGTCCCTGTAAAAGGAGGAAATTTGGGTGCAGAGACACACATAGATAGAATTTGAAGGGAAAAGATAGGAGAAGACAGCTATCTATGAGCCAAGGACAGGGCCATGGAACAGACCTTCCTCCACAGCCCTCAGAAGGACCTAATTCTGCCCACACTCTGATCTAGGATTTGTGGCCTCTAGAATTTGTTAGAGAATACATTTCTATTATTTAAGCCCCCTATTTGTGGTGCCTCTCATGGCAGCCCTAGCAAACTAATACACATGTAGTTTGGAAACAAACTCAAGAGAGGAGACTAATGTTTTTTCACATGGATCTATCACTTAGTAGTTATATGGAGCCTGGAAAATGTCAGCATTAATAAATGTTAGAAATTATTATTGCTTTTATGATCATTATATACAGTAGGGAAAAAAATGCAAAATATCTGAACTTTTGTCTTTGTTCCTAGTGTGGTCAGATACACACACACACACACACATATGTATGTATGTATATGTATGTATGTATTTTTATGGCCTAGGGTCAGTTGCTTTCATAAAAACATGACATTAAAAAGTACATAATTTTTGTGAAAAATAAATACAAACAAGATTATCATAATATACAGTTAATGCATCAATTAAAAGACACGCCTTGGCATGTGGATCTGATTATGTAATTAATGGAGTTGCTGTTTCCTAGAAAAATCACCACTTTGACAGAATGTCTTTTTTTGTCCTTCTTACAAATTTGGAGAAATCACCGGCAGTCTTAGGATGTGAACAGACCTAAACATCACTTTTGTTCCCATGCACTTACCGGGGGCCCAGGAGGCCCTGGAAGACCACTGTCGCCCTTCTGGCCAGCAGGTCCCTGTTAGGTACAAAAGGAACAAGATAAACAGAGAACAAGGCATTTGACTAGGCTTCACTGAACAATCAAAGTCCAAAGGGAGAAGTACTTACGGTAGAGCCTTTGGTACCCTTTGGACCTTGAGGACCCTAGACAAAATGCAAAGGCAAAAGTACAGATAAAAATCTTGGAGAAATCATGACTCTTTTGGTGTAAGTTTCCTTTACAAAATTCTTTTGTCTCGCACTTACCGGTAAGCCTGGAGGACCAGGGGGACCTATGGGACCAGCAGGACCTGGAATCCCCTGTAAAGAGAATCATCCAAATTAGAGTTTTCCTCAGCTATGCTACTCTCTATATTGCAGGACAACATACACTGAAAACTTAGATTATGCAAAAGTATATAAGAATAACCTGATTTTCCATTGTGAACCTAAGAAATAACTTTTGTAAGATATTCTGTATTTTTTTCCCGTTTGCTTCAATGTCTCTATATTTAGACTTATGTAGCCTTCAGAATAATGATTTGTATGTTTTGGGGATTCAATAAATTGCTGTGTAATTAACTATTGAACTGTAATCTTTATGATTTCCAACTTGACATATTTTTAAATTATTACTTTAAGGTTAAATAAATTTCTTTTTGAAAACATCATTGACTTAAAGAGGTTAAAGATGCTCTAAATCACCCTGCTGGTCACGTTTAATGGAATGTGCACAGGTGTGTGTGCGTGTGTGTGTTTGTAAAGGAGCAGGAGAATAATTTGTATCTTTACTCACTCCATCCCCCTTTGCTCCTGGAGATCCTTGAGTTCCAGGGAGTCCTCTGTCACCCTTTTCACCTTGTTCTCCTGGAGGACCAATCAGGCCAATTAAACCAGGATGTCCCTTTAGAAGGCAGAGAAAAGAAATTTGACCATATGTAAATTACAACCATATATTAAATTATAGTCATAAAATAATTGCACACTAATTTTATGGAACATAAAAGTAAAAAAAAAAGATAAAAACTTTAACCCTTTCTGAATGATATATAGGATTAAGAACCTCTTTCCTCTTACCTAACAGGATCGTTTACGCTTACATTAAGTGAATCTTTTGTTTATAGAGAGAAGTATTAGGGAACAAAATGCTTTCTAAAAGAATCATCTTCAGTGTTTCATTTACTGAAAAGTAATTCCCTAAAAGACCAGTAATGACCATATTGATCAAATAAACTGAAAATTCATTATTTTAATAAGCATGATATTTTATATGATATGATTTCTATCCTTCAGAGACTGTGGTCTTTAAGAGACATTTGGAGATTTAAAAATGACCCAAAAAAACATTAACGCCATTATAAAAAGGCTTATTTTCCATAATTATTTGGTGCAACTCCGTGTACTTTCTGGAAGATCAAATTACTATTTCAAAAGTATACTAGTTTAAATTTGTTATTTTCATGTTTAAAAACATAAAATGGGCATTTTGTTATTCCATCTGTTTATTTTCTGAAGAGTTATTTTAGTATAACCATATGCTTTCTCCATATGGCTCCTACAAGGGGACATTGAGAAAATATAACAATGGATTTGAATACATTTTTCACTATGACTTTGTATCTTTTCTCTTCTCTAAATTCATCTGGGAAGCAGAGGATTGGAAGCTTTTGCCTTGGTTAAAAGGACAAAGATATTCTTTGAAATTTCCTTTTGAATGATTCTAATCTGCAAAATTATTGTCTCTGCTATTAGCATATCAAAATTGTAATAACATGTGCTTTTATTCTCACCTTCTCACCCTTGGAACCGGGGTCACCTTTGAGACCAGGTAAGCCAGGAGGTCCCTAAATAATGAGAAATAATAAACATACATAACGTAGGCATGAATTAGAGAATCATATTACTATGCATAGGGCAAGTTTGGTTTTGGTAATATGACAGAGTTCAAAAATAATTAGTAATGCTTAAGGTTTATTTATCAGAATTCTAAATAATTTTGTTTAAAATTCCATGGCTTGATATTTAACTTAACATTGGTTACATAAATATGCAGTTAGAAATAAGACTTGGTTTACACGGACTTACAACAGAAAAAGAATAAATTTTTAAACACACTAATTTTAGAAGAAGGGATTTCCAAAGTACACATCGATTCAATAAAATATTTTGGTGCTAAGCTCAAATAAATTACAATATTTCCTAGAAACTTAAAAAAAAACTCAATAAATTTTTGACAGTCAAATGACATTTGATAACCACTTTTCCTAAGCAAACTCCTAAGATAGTATTTTTAACTATAATTCCTGAAAAATCTTTTCAAAAATATTTTTAATGTTGATTTATTTTGTGAGAGAGAGAGAGAGAAAGAGCAGGCACGCGCGCACAAATAGGGGAGGGGCAGAGAGCGAGGGAGACACAGAATCCAAAGTAGGCACAGCCCAAGGCGGGGCTTGACTCATGAACCAGAAGATCATGACCTGAGCTGAAGCCGGATGCTTAACCGACTGAGCCACCCAGGCACCCCAATTAAATTTACAAATCATTTAAATAAAAGACTCTGGGATGCCTAAGTGGCTCAGTTGGTTAAGTATTCAACTTCGGCTCAGGTCATGATCTCATGGTTCATGGGTTTGAGCCCTGCAGCAGGCTCTGTGCTGAGAGCTCAGAGCCTGGATCCTGCTTCAGATTCTTTGTCTCCCTCTTTCTCTGCTCCTCCCCTGCTCCTGCTCTGTCTCTCTGTCTCTGAAAAATAAATAAACATTTTTTAAAAAGTGATTTGTAAATTTAATAATAAGGTAAATAATTTTTCTCATATAATTATCTCTATCCTAATAATGTTTATGGTCCAAGGATAAGGTACTTATCTATTTTGCTAAATTGTATTTTTATGAAAATTATGGCATGACCTCAACAACTAACCCTGACCCTACCCATGGAAATATTCATATTGATTACTTAACAAACTTAAAATTTTTTTTTAATGTTTGTTTATTTTTGAGAGAGAAACACAGTGCGAGCAGGGAAGGGGCAGAGAGAGAGAGAGGGAAACAGAATCCAAAGCAGGCTCCAGGCTCTGAGCTCTCAGCATAGAGCCCCATGTGGGGCTCGAACTCAGGAACCACGAGATCATGACCTGAGCTGAAGTTGGACACTTAAGAGCCACCCAGGCGCCCCACAAACGTTTTAATACAAAAGTCAGGGTACTCTATATTGAGGACAACACAAAATATCCTTGTCCTGAAATTAATGACAAATGAAATGATGCAGGCAAGAGATTCTATCAGAAGAAGTGTAACTGACACTAAAAGATGGTTAGTATGTGATTGATGAAATCAGAGCCAAGATAATGTTACAAAATGTAGGTCACAACTTCCTGCAACAGAAAGGCATTGGTGGGGGAGAGGGGGGAAGCAAAATATTCATACAGTTTCTCTATAAATAGAATTATTCATATTGGACTGAATTTTAGAATTATAATTTTAATAATGATTTAACAAAGTACTTAGAAAGCAAACTGTTTTAACTTGTAACAAGCTATGCCAGGAGTGTTCACAATTGTATCTTCTTCAAGCCTACCATGAGTGATTTTTTTCCTTTCTCTACAGACACTGCTTTGGTGTGAAAAAAAAAAAAAATGTAAGTGCCAGTCTATAATTTTTGTGAATTTAAAGTATTAAAAGCGATGGATCTGATCCAAGTAGTATGATGTAATATAAAAAGTATGGGCTCAGAATAGGATAGACTTGGGATAGAAGCCAGCCTCTCTTATTAGCAATTTAAATTAGCTAACGAAAGAGAGCTTCAGTTTTCTCATCTATAGATTGAGGATTATAATTCCTGTCTCACGAGATCAAGTAGATGAGCCTTTTCCATTCCTTAGTTTCTCACATCTATATCTTAAACTGAAATCCTGATCATCAGGAGAAAGTAAGGATAGCTTCGGTATCAATTAGTACTATGTAACAATAGTATTTGGGGCTACTTAAATATATTTAATTTGCTTTAATTCATGAACGAATCTGAAATTCTGTAAGTATTGATATAAAAGTGGGAAATTTCTCTACATCATTCCATTAACAATAGATAAAAATCATTTTCATATAAGATATGTGCTATTTTAAATGTGAATGTGTCTAATAATACTCTTCAAAGAGAAAATTATTAATCCTCAGACATAAATTTAAATCAGTTCAGTTTAGAATCTATTTTGTATAAAAATAACCATGCCACTTTGTTAAATCTCTGACAGACAAATGTAGATCACAAAGAAATTATATTCAAGTATATTCTAAGGTTGGGTTTGAAAACCTAACTTTCACCTCAGTCACTAACACCCTATCATAGTGGATATCAAAGTGTGACCTCAGACCAGCATCATTAGCATCATCTGTGAACTTATGAGTAAAGCCAATTCTTAGGCCTCATCCAGACCAGCTAAATCTGAAATGCTGGAGTGAAGAGACCAGCAGTCTGTTTCATAGGTTTGATACTCATTAAGGTTTGAGAGACTTGGCTCCGTGGCATTAGGTCCCAAATTGAGTTAAATCAATATGCAAATCAGAACAGCATAAAAAAATCTCATTTATGTTAAAATAAAAGCAATACCTATTTAGTTCTACTAGTTTAATATTTTTTAAAGTAAGGTAATATATTTCATATCTACTATTTTCTGATCTTATCAGAAATGCATGATGAATCATCAGTAGGGAAAATAATGTTGCCCAATAGCACATTTTAAAAGGAATAATATAAATGAGTAATGGAAACTCTCAGAATTTCTTGAGACCATGCTATCATCAGGATAAATGCCGAAGACTCTATATGTTAGAAAAAAGTGGCATAAAAAGTATGAAAAAAAATAGTTCTGATAAAAATGTAACTGCATCAAAGAACCATATACTCATACCAGTAGCAGAAACCCTTTAAGAATACTGGTTAAAACTGACGTATGTCAATTAAAGTAAAAACATTCTCTAGATTGAAAATATAAAACTCTGCAGTGGCCAGATTTTTTTCTTTCTTCACTTCTCATTTTACATTCAAACTGTTTTAGGCATGTGATACACTTTACAGAAATTTTGCTTTAAGTGGGAGAACTGACAGATTTTGCATGCTGAATATCAATATTCTTATTTTTCTTCTTTCCAAGATTCTGTTTAAGTTAGTTAACATATAGTGTAGTATTGGTCTCAGGAGTAAAATTTAGTGATTCATCACTTGAATACAACACCCAGTACTAATCATAACAAGTGACTTCCTTAAAATGCTTCCCACCCGTTTAGCCCATCCCACCACCCTCCTCCCCTCTAGCAACCCTCAGTTTGATCTCTAGAGTCTCTTACAGTTTGCTTTCCTCTCTGTTTTTATCTTATTTTTCCTTCCCTTCCCCTAGGTTCATCTGTTTTGCTTCTTAAGTTTCACATATGAATGAAATCATGACATTCGTCTTTCTCTGACTGATATCACTTAGCACAATACACTCTAGTTCCATCCACATCATTACAAATGGCAAGATTTCATTCTTTTTGATGGCTGAGTAATATTCCATTGTATGTATGTATGTATGTGTGTGTGTATGCACACATACATACAAACATACATACTAGTTCTTCTTTGTCCATTTATCAGTCAATGGACATTCAGGCTCTTTCCATAATTTGGCTATCATTAATAGTGCTGCTCTAAACATTGGGGCACATGTGCCCCTTCAAATTACCATTTTTGTATCCTTTGGATAAATACCTAGTAATGCAATTTCTGGATCATAGGGTGGTTCTATCTTCAACTTTCTGAGGGCCTCCACACTGTTTTCGAGAGTGGCTATACCAGTTTGAATTCCCACCAGCAGTGCAAGAGGTTTCCCCTTTCTCTACAATAGACATCAATATTCTGATCACTGCTTCATTCAGAGTCTCAAGTCTAACCACCCTTTAGTTGAGTAATCTTGGATCTATTACTTATTATCTCTGAGCTTCATTTATGAAAGTACTCTAATAGTCATAACTGTGTCATAATATAATAAAAAGCAGACCTGCAAAATTACTGTATAAATAGTGAATTATAACATAAATATTAATTACTGATATTTGTTTTTTTTAATATTACAAACAGTTATCAATCAGCCCTCTCACCACATTCTAGTAGTATAAGCTAAAATGACAAAAAAGAAAAAGAAAGAGGAGGAGGAGGAGGAGGAAGAGGAGGAGTATTGGAATTCTAATTATTCAGGCTTAATGAGAAATATGCTAGACATTATTTGTGTTTACAATGCATCTTTCTTTCTTTTCAAATTTTAGAGACAGAGTGCAAGCATGGAAGTGAGGCAAAAGGAGGGAGAGAGGGAGGGAGAGAGTGAGAGGGAGAGAGAGAGAGAGAGAGAGAGAGAGAGAGAGAGAGAGAGAATCCTAAGCAGGTTCCATGCTCAGTGCAGAGCCTGACATGGGGCTTGATATCATGACACTGGGATCATGACCTGAGCTGAAATCAAGAGTCAGATGCCCAAATGACTGAGCCACCCTGGGGCCCTATAATGCATCTTAAATCATTTCTATAAATGTACATAAAGGAGTTAGAGGAAATGAGTATTAATTCCTAGAAGCTAATAATTTCATATGAACTTGCAAACTTTATCTGAGGACACATTTACCAAGAAAAATCAGTTTCTTAACATTTTCATCAGTTGGAAATAGAAATTGGTAACGTTATGCTATTGATAGCAGTTATAAATAACCCTCCAAACTTGGGACATATCAAAAATATCAATTCTTCACATAAAAAGATTATTCCAAGTACATATTTTCTATTTCTTATTTAGGATATTGTAAATTGAGAAACCCTAGGGAAATACATAATTCATAAGTTATAAAGTGAAAAGGAAAACAGGGATGATACATTATTAAGTGCCTAGAATATACAATCAAACATTTTCCCCTGCAGTATTATATGCTTTACAGGATATTTGCTTTGATATGCATCTCAAAACTCTAGTGCATTGATGTTGAAAGAAACTGCAGATCTTGCACTTTATTTAGAATGTCATATTGTGAAAGAATGTTTAATTTGGTAAAAAGCAAATGCTTTGCTGTTTAAACCTGTTTAATCATTATGGAATACTACACATCTCAAACCTATTTACAGATAGTTTAGATGTAGCATTAAAAAACAAACAAACTGCAATTCAGTAAGCCATCTACCATTTTTTCAGGCATTTATGGTTTGAAATAATGCTGTCAGATATTTTATATTTATCAGTATGTGAAAAGAAGGGACGTATGATTATACTGTGGTAATTTTTCATCTCTTTTTTAGCTATTTTGGAACAAATAGGTTCATCTAATAAAAGAACATGAAATAAAATAAAGTGAAAGCTCAAAACTCAAACAGATGCTAATCCTACCTTCAAAACATAAAAATTAGTTTAAAATTATGAAATCCTGTTAATTTTGACTGTACACACAGAGAAGAGAACGTAGCCACAATTTCTGTTCTCTTTAAAACACTGTTTTATTCCATTTAGTTTTTGTTGACTACATACTCAAAAATCATTGATTCAACTTAAAAAAACCCTCAAATAAAATTCTTATATAATCTCATCATTGTCCTTAGCTTTCTGTTAGCGCTCATATGTACTAGTCTATCCTCTCAGTTCCATATGGTGATTCTAATTATATATGCACCTAAATTTCATGCATATATAGAAGTTTAATTTTTACCCTGAGAAATGTCTAACTTTGAAAGTGAAAAATATATACTGTACCTTATCTAAACTCTAGTATATCTAATTACACAGAGGGGGCAAACACCAAACATATTATCATCCTAAAACTTTTAGAAGATGTTTCATTCCTGCCCCAAAGAATTTCCACTCCAAAGGTTGATATAAAATTGTATATAAAAGACCTATAAAATATCTTGGCAAGTAACAGTAAGTGTATAAGTAAGTGTATAAATACTCTGATAAAACAAAAGCCAGAGAAAACAAAACAGCACCCACACTGCTCCGTTAGATAGAGTGCAACTGTCTAACTGGGTAGCTGCCTGTCCTGAATGATAAAAGCAGAGCAAGTTGTACTTACTGAATAGAATAGCGAAGTAGCATTTAAAAATTGGGGAAAGGGGATTGTCGTGGTTTTGTTTGACTAGTGGACCCTACAGCAGGAAGTTTCAGGCAGCTTCTAGAAGAGGAAAAGAGACCCAAAGGGTAGCTGCAGAAATGCAATGATAACAGACTTCTGAAATTTGTGTAGACGTGGATGTGGGTGTGAATATATTTATAATTATAATGAGGAGAAAACACATTATGGAGGAAATATTCACATGAATTTCACATGGATTAATTTCAGAGACTAATGCCAATTTGTATGGGTTTTAAGACGTCTCTTGTTTTTACCTCCCACATTTTTAAGCCTCCCAGACACATTTAAACCCCTCTCGTCCTTATTTAATAATCTTACCATATTTCCTATGAGGGAAAGGTCCCCAGAGGAGATGGCATTTTAACAGTTCTACTCTGAATATATTTAGCAGCATTCTCTGCTTGATTCTATTATAGTACTTACCACTTTATACTCTAACTGCTGTAAGTCAGCATAATTTATTTGTTGGTCTTTTCATTTGCTTCAACAGTGTCTTTCAAAAAAATTTATTAATGGTATATATGCATGAATGAGGTCAAATTTAGTTTTTTTTAAGTAATCTCTACCCCCAGGGTGTGGCTCGAACTCAGGACCCCAAGATCAACAGTTGCATGCTCTAGTGACGGAGCCAATCAGGTGCCAAAAATTTAGTCACTTTTCACTAAGAATATGAAATTGTTTCTTTTTCAAAACACTATTTCATTCAATTAATAATTCTTTGGTGCTCCTAATGCCAATTATGGCCTAAGTGTTTTACATATAACTCATTTAATTAACATAAGACCCCCATGGGGTAAAAATATATTAATAATCCCATTTAATTCAATTAAACTTCATAACATCCCATGAGATAGATGCTATTGATATTCTAATTTTTCAGATGAGGAACCTAACACTTAAAAAAATAAATAACTTTCCTGGGGCACCTGGGTGGCTCAGTTGGTTAAGCATCTGACTTCAGCTCAAGTCATGATCTCACTGCTCATGAGTTCAAGCCCTGTGTTGGGCTCTGTGCTGACAGCTCAGAGCCTAGAGCCTGCTTCAGATTCTGTGTCTCCTTCTCTCTCTGCCCATCTCCCGCTCACACTCAGTCTCTTTCTCTCAAAAATAAATAAACTTTACAAAATTTTTTTTGAAAAAAAAATAACCTTCCTAAAGCAAGTCAGTGGTAGTATTTGTTTGTGAAACCAGGGAGTTTGGGTTCAGGGTCAAGGACCTTAACGAATAACCATGATCAAAAATTGCCTACTAAAGTTTTTCATAGCTGAGTTGAAAAGTTCATTAAATTGCCATAAAATGCATCTTGAAGATGGTTTCTCTGACAGTCCTCACTTCACAAGGACTGACTAGCATTTTCATTAAAATTAGATGTCATTGTCAAAGTGGTTGATGCTATGAGAAAGCTGCAATATATTCACATAAGTACTCTCTGAGAAAACAAGCATCCAGAGAAAAGCAAGTCACCTAAACTGCCAAATTCCGATGCCTTTCATTTCACTCTGCTTAAAAGGGTTTGAGTTGTTCAGTCCCTTGCTCTGTAAACTCACATCTATCGGAGAGTCAGAAATATAAACTTTTATAAGCTGGAATCAGGTGGAATGTCTGATGGTTTTAATTTTAATATTATCTGAAGGAAATCTCCAGCATGATGTTTTTTATTTCATCTGGATAAAGGTCAGAATACTTACTGGAAAATCTGAAATAACAAGAAAAAAATCTCTGGCAAATTTTAAGTCTACATTAAGGCGCATTTTTTTTTTTTTTCCAGGCACTGACTCTGCAGTTAGGAATTTACCATATCTAAGGAGAATTCCCTAAATAGTGGTGTAGACGGGGAACTCACCCAGCTTCAGCCAGGCTCCTGTTATGCTGAGGGGGTCACCTGCAGATGTGATAATCTCCGGCTTGAGGTCACTCAAAATTTGATAATGTTTATCCCTTTACTAAAATAAATGATCTTTAACTTTCAATGACAGTTAAAAAAATAACCTCTGTAACACTTATGAAGTATTTGGTATATATTGTGGCATTTTTACTAAAAGGAATGACCCACATTCCTCCTCATAATTAAGATTATGAATATCAGTTTTGATGGCTCTCTGAGCATCTATCTGTCAGGTAATTAATATATTCATGATAAGAGGTATTTTTGTAAAATTTAAATTGGCATAAGGAGGTGTTTGACTATTTGAACCAACATGCATCACACCTACATAATGCTGTATGTGTTATTTGCTGTTTTGATTAATCCCTTCATGCATAACTATTTTTGGACAATGAATTTCAAACACCTCTACCATAAGACAGAATCTGTCACCCAGAAGACAATGATTTAAGGCGAGACTTGGATTCTCACTTCTGTCCAAATTTTGTAGGGAGGATAGCCTTGGCACCTATAATAAACTCCCATCTATGAACAGTATGCCGGTCAACAAAGTGCTCTGTTGGATTTATAAAGCCATGTTTGAACACAGGGTTGATGATTGTAACCCAGCTTCAGTTGTAATAATTATACCTTTCTCCACTAATGGAGGTTAATGTTTTATCTTTCAGCCTGTGTGACTCACGAAGAGAACAATTTATTTGGTGAAGGAATCACTATGTGCCTGTGCCAATGTCATTCTTTTAAATGAAGTGCCAGGAAACTAAGTGTAATTGCATGCATTTGGGGGAACTGTCCACATTTGGAAAAGAACTGGCTGGGCCATTAGTGGCATTTTATTCAGAGTGGAAATATTTTTTTTTCTTCTCCAAAGGACAAAAAGGAAAGATCTGATCAAGGGGAAAAATTTCCAAATAACCCATCCCTTAGGATTACTTTCCTCTTTTTAGGTCTAAGTAATATGCTTTCTGAAATATTGTACGAAATATAAACTATTTTGTAAGACACAATTTTGGAAATTCTAGCCTGTAAACAATTTTGCTTCTGGAGCTTTCCCTTTCGAAGTAACAGAAAAGACTATACTCACCATAGGACCAGGAGGCCCATCTTGACCTGCAGCTCCAGGGAGACCTTGCTCTCCCTATGGAAAATAAACACAATTGATTTTTTGATTAACAAAAGCATACATATTTCTTCATTTCAATTTTGGAAACACAAAAAGAAAGCAAGAAAACATCATCTATGAATTCCATCCCATGGAGAACATCTACAAATGTTATAAGCAATTTTGAGTGTTTTTACCTTGTGTGTGCATGTCTAGATGGATACATGTATAAAAACTTCATATTGTTGAGTTCTTAGGGTTGGGTTTTCTCTTCTGCCTTTCTATGTTGGAATTCACCATGAACTTACTAAATAAATGATATCTTTAAATATTTTAAGAATATCTGACTTTAATGATTACATGACATTTACTGAATTCCTATGAGACATCCACACGATTACTTATGAAATAATGCTGTCATAAATATTTTCATTCACAATTTTTTGGAAATGAAACATTATTTTCAAAATGGCGTCTTTTAGCACAGGTGCTTACCACAGGGCCAGGGATGCCCCGAAGACCCTCTGGACCAGGCTTTCCAGCAGGTCCCTGAGGACCAACTGGGCCAGTTTTTCCAGGTGGGCCTTCAGCACCTGCTTCTCCCTGTTAGAAATAAAATGTTTGAACACATTAATAATGAGAAAAGACATCCTGTATGCTATTAAAAGTACTGAAATGGGTATTGTTCAATGTATAAGCCTTTCAAACATAATACTTGTATATCTTACCTTGGCGCCTTTTTCTCCTTGTCTTCCCTCTGCACCTGCTGCTCCAGGAGGGCCCTATAAACATAAAAGTACACGTAAAATATATATCGCATATAAGAGTAATGTAACTGAGGACTTATTCACAAATACTCCAGTTTAATTTGTAACAGATTCTAATAGGGACTGCGTATAGCTATTTAGTTTAAAATGCAATGAGAAAAATCAAAACCCTTTTATATAAAAACTTTCAGTTAGAATAGTAAACATAAATGAAACACACATTGACAGATAATCACACATCAATGTAAGGAAACAGTAAAGATAATTTCTTTAAGAAAAGCTGATGACTTAGTTACCCTTAGTGTGTTAAATACTCAGGTATCATTTATTATGTTGTATAATTAGGAATGCATGTATCAGATTTCACTTTCATCCTTAAAGGTATTTTAAGATTGACTCCTTTTTTATTTTTAGGCTCCTTTCTTAATCATAGAACATCCATATGTTATGTATACATTCTTATAGGATCATGTCCGACTGAGAGCATCACATTTAAAATCTTGACTGTCAGCAGAAATTTTATTTTCATTTTCTGGGACTATGCAATTCACATAAATAAGTGGCATAAATATAGTTATCACTTTTTAAAACCTAATATTAGAGCAAGAGCAGAAAAAAAAATCTTCACTCTCCATATGTCATCCAAAAGCTTATGAGGATATTCTGGTGTTTGCCTGACTTTTGTATAGCTGCACAGATTGCTATGGAGAGATGCTAGTTACTTCTCTGTTTAAAGCTATTCATAATACTCCTCCTTGACTATATAGGTATCTTTGTAAGATATCTGTCTACCCAATTCTCTTTAGTTCTTTTTTCATTAGCTTTGTGACTTTTAACAATTTATTAGCATTCCTGAACTTCATCCATAAAATATTACCAATAAAAATTCTCTTGCAATAGAATTGTTGTTAAATTTAAATGAGATAACACACGTAAAAGTACTTTTCAGGCTTTCTTGGGTAGTGGTATCAAACACAGATACGGAATCTGGGGCTTAAGGGCATAAAGCCTGGACTCAGATTTCCTGACTTCAAATCCTCGTCCCGGGCACCAATTAGCCTTGTGATCTCTAGAAAGTTATTCGCCAGGTCAGTGCCTCAGTTTATTTCTCTGCAAAATGTGGATAAGAATAGGAGCTATTTCCTAGAGTCATCATAACAACTTAATGAATTGATAAAGGTAAATGGCATATAACAGTGTTTGGGACATAGAAAACACTGAACAAACATTGGCTTTGGTTCTATCATTGGTAACATTAGCAAATATAATTATTATTATACATTAATGTATTTTACCTATACTTTTCACCATGTTGGCAACCTAAGAGTCAGGTCTAACAAAATAAGCTCTCAAAATACACTTGTTGACACCATGTCAACAAATTATTTTTTCCATGCATGCTGTTTCTAATACCTGAAAAATATAAATTCTATGTTTGCAACAACTTGTTTTAATTGGAAATTTTTGAGTTGGCTAAAAAATAATATATAAGATGATCCTGTAGTATATAATCAGATTTTGATACCTGATATTCATATTTCCTTCTTACATTTATATAGTCATCTGTGAAATATAAGACATTTCTAAACCTTGTAACAAAATGATGAGAAAAAAATCATCTATAATCATTTATATTACATGATATAACATTCAAAGAAAGTATCAAAGAAATCATTTTTTCAATTATAACATAATTGACACATCTAAATTTTGTTTCTATTATATTGGATCCTCATGTCATTTTTAGTAACATTTCAAATCAACAGAAGCTGGGCACTTGGTTTGATAGCTTAATAGAAGCACAATACAAATGCTTTTGGCCTATAGAATGACCCCCCAATATACATTTTCAATTCATTCAAAGACATAGAAGATTTACAATTTTGTTATAAAACATTAATTTACACTCATTAACTGAGTTTTTATCACTTAACAAGCATTAAGATTCAATTTAATGTTGAAATTTTCTGCTCAAGTTCAAATATAACCACAGAAGGTTTAAAAAAGAAACTTCATGATCTCTAAGAAACTGCATTTCCTTTTTCCCCAGACTCTCTCTCTCTCGTATTCCATCAGTTACTTCAATTTTGTAATGAATTGTACTCAAAATCATCAACTGAGATTGAGGTTGGAGGTTGGGGAGAGTAGGGGAGATGGTGTTAACTGGTGAAAATAAGGTGCTGCAGGAGGAAGACTCCTCTCTTTCAGGTGCCATATTAATATGCTAATGGTGAGCACAAGCTAGTCTTTAATTCGGTCTTTTAAATTCACATTTAAAAGGAGTATCAAGCACTTCATCAAACTCGGAGCATTCTGTGAACTCATTTATCTCTGAGAGAACCAACGAATATAGCATAATTTTCTCAATATCATCATGGTAACTCTATTGTGCCTCAACCAAAAGGTAGGAAATGTATATATTTTGAAGCAGTCTCTTGAGGCAACAGCATTATGCTAACATTAATATATGCTTAAAACTTAAGTGCTTCTTTTTAATTTCATGCTATTTATGCAAGAGGATTTCTGTATAGAAGCATAAACTTCAAATAATTTAATGTTAAAATGTCATAAGTTATTTCGGTGTGATGTTTAAGATATTAACATATGCAAACCAAAACAACCATAATGACTGTGATTTTGGAAATAGAAATTATGAGATTCAACTGAACAATGGGCTTTTCCTTATTCTGTCCTTTTCCTTATTCCTTATTCTATGAAACTTCATAGAAGTTTCCCTTAAACTCGTGACATAAGGGTATGGAATTTTTCGAAGGACTGCACTAACACACATGAACATAAAGAACAGAAGATTTATAAATATCTAGCTTTGGAGAAAAGCTAGTCATCAGCTGTCTAAAAATGTAACAAAAATACTGCTTTTACCACAAAGGAGAAAAGACAATCTGAGTTTGAAGAGCCTAGAGAATTTAAACACGAGTAAACTACAACACAGCCACAAAATTTTGATTCAAATAGAGTTTCTCCATCCCAAAAGGACTTCTTCCTTCTCTGAATGAACGTCTGATATCTGTCACGGTGGAAATCCATATTAAATGGATTTTCTCTGTTCTTTATCTCATTTTTCCCATTTTCATTTATTTCTTATATAATTTTTCCAGATGGCACAGAGTGTTTTTTTCTGTTTTGTTTTTTTAAAGAAAAACTGGGATGAAAACACACTTTTTCTAGGGGAATATGAAGTTTCCTTTGAAAAAAATTAATAGTGCATATGGACAAATTCTTGTCTTACTTACTTCTCATATATCTGCATAAACAGATGGGCAAGGACTTAATCTAGTGAACTACCTGCTGTACTTTCATGAGTGTTCTGATTAGAAAATGCCTCCTAAAACATAATACAGTAAAACAGGCCCCAGTTAATTCTCCACCAGTAGCCATGGTTACACAGGATTTTCTTCACCATGAGAAATATACTTCCTATAAAATACACAACATAACCTCTCCCCACTATTCACATTTTACAATATTATTCTATAATTTATCTCTTCTTCCATTCATGTAAAAAATATTTAAATTGTCCTTGTGTTCCAGAAATGTACATGGAGAATACAAAAAGATAAAACACCAAAAGAATAAAAAAAAGGACAAAAAACAAAAAACCATGAAATCCTAAGGAGTTCATGAAGTTTCATTATGAAGTTTCATTTCTGAAGAGAGACACCAAAATTAACAAAGATAGTACATTATAAAATGTGCAGAGATGAGGTAGGTATATAAAAATAGGCACAATGTTGTAGTTTGACAGTAGGGAAGGCTTTCCCAAGAATCTAATCTCTGATCTGAATCTTAGTGTGGGTTAAATGTGGAAGGGATGTTTCCTTTTAACACTTTATCTTTTGACCATTCACATTCATGCATAAACACATAAGGATGGAAAGAATATATAATGAGAATATATGCACATATATAACAACATGTATGTATGTAATAAGAATATATATACTATATGGTGTATATATACAGGTTAAAGTTTTGTCTGCATTTCTGTTAATACTGGAGTCTTTAGAATTCCATTTAATGGTGCATTTTGAGCAGTTTCAAGTTATCATGTTTAAATTATTTTAGTGACCTCTAGGAGGTTTTTCAATAAAAGAGTGTGGACCTAGCTCTTGTTTTCAAAAAGCTATAATGATAACTTGAGTATCAAAATTCCATGTTTTATCAACACAAACCATACAATCTTCTAGTGCCTTAAGGAAATGTACATTTATTCTCTAGTATTACAAATACATGACAGAATGTACATGTACTACAAATGACAACTTAATTTTCCTACTTGTTCAATAACTGTTAGAATGTTGTTTCTCAGTATCACTGCCACTCGTAACATTCTGGTCAATATTCTATTAGGAAGGTTTAGTATCATTTACTCATCCATCTAGAAAGTTTTAATGGCATTCAGACTGCAGGCAAAAATAGGAAGGAGATCTCAAAAATCATGTTACACTTTGTAATTACTTTCTAAGAATAACAGCCCAGTGGTTGCTGTGTGAGACATTTTTTTTTTCTACCAAGACCATGCTTCAGGGCTGTCAACAAAACAAAACAAAAGCAATAAGAATATTATTTAGAATATAGTTAGAATATAAGAAGAACAGGGAAGGTGGAAGGTTAAAAAGCACTTGGTCAATGAAGAAACAAGTGTATTCAGGAAGATGTTTAGTATAAAATAAATTTATTTCTGGCAAAGGAAAATGTTTATAAATATTGACTCAAATTTATATTGCTGAAGGAGAAAATTAAATTCTGTTCCTACTCTGTGAGAATGTGGAGTGTGAAAATCCCACTAAAGCAAAACTACCATTAGAAAACCACAGTAGTTCCAATGGCTCTGTGCCTTTGGATTACTGAAAGGGGAATGAACCTAAGAAATACATTTTGATGTTTACCACATATTTTGTTTGCAGGTAGGTCAGAAAATAGACTAAAGGAGGGATAGGAGAACACTGGATAATGACGTAAGTATTGTAAGAGGCAGGTCAACAGAAATGGTTTCATTATGAAAACAGTACAGTAGTAAGAAAAAGTTAATCTCCTATCATCCACTGGAGCCAATATTTTTTTTTCAATATATGAAATTTATTGTCAAATTGGTTTCCATACAACACCCAGTGCTCATCCCAACAGGTGCCCTCCTCAATACCCATCACCCACCCTCCCCTCCCTCCCACCCCCCCATCAACCCTCAATTTGTTCTCAGTTTTTAAGAGTCTCTTATGCTTTTGGAGCCAATATTTTGAACAAGATCTATTTATTTACATTTTGCTGTAGTGTTTTGTTAAAATCCTGCCATGGTTCCAAATCAGAGAAGTTTGACAGTGTCAAGCAAGCGAACATTACATGCTGATTCCTGGGCTCTTTCTATTGATAGTTGCATTCAGATTTTTGCAATGTTTTTAGCTAGCAATGGACTTTGGCGTCTCATCTCCCTGTAGTTGAAGTTCAGGGTTCCATCAGTCTTTTACAACAGACTGCATTTGTACAGAGGGGAGACCTAAGCACAGAGAAGTGGGAAACTACTGTCTATTGTGACTGATTAAATCTGTCACTAAAGTATGTTCCATTTAAATATTTTGACAAATGTAAGAAATTACCCTCTTCTCTAAGACTTATATTTTTTCAGCATCATTATAATATGCTGTCTACAGCTTAAGAATATTATGTTTATACACGTAGTAGATGAGTGGATGTTTCAAATAAAGAATTTTATTTTTTAAAAATGTTTATTTATCTATTGAGAGAGAGAGAAAGAGTACATGCATGTGCATGTGTGAGCGAGTGGGCAAGGGCAAAAAGAGAGAGGGAGAGAGACAACACCAAGCAGGCTCTGCACTGTCAGACGCCAGGCTCAATCTCATGAAATGTGAGATCATGACCTAATCCGAAATCAAGAGTAGGATACTTAACCAACTGAGCCACCCAGGTGCCCCTCAAATAACAAATTTTAAAAACTTACTCTTTTTCCAGGAGGACCTGGTGGGCCAGCCTCACCAGATGGGCCAGGTGGACCCTATAAAATGTGAAAAATAGCTTTTAATTGGGCATTGTTTTATGGTCCACAGCATTGTTTTCTAAATCTGGACCGAATCCAAACTTCTTCATCTCCCCACGTCTATCTTTCCCGGATAATCTCAGCCGTATTTCAGATTCCTAAACTTCCTCTAGATATCTATAATTAGAGCTAGTAAATTCAGATGGAAAACTTTTTCATAGCTGGAAGAAAGTGACTCAAATTCCTTATCTTAAAACTGTGCTCTTTTTAAAAACTGCTAACTTATATCTGACAAGCAGCCAGGAGCCATACTAATTAATTGAATCATATGATTAATAACTCTTCTCATATCACATGCATTTGTGAAACCATAAAACTGTTACTTCTTAATTTCTTCTTGTACAAAACCAGCATTCTTATGCCAAGGAGTACTCAGCATGTTGGGCTATGATCTGCAAGTCTTATCTACACAGAATAAGCCTACAAATATCCAGTGGGGATGGCTCTGGAGACAAAACTATGTTAGGGGTGTGATTTGTCTTTGGCTCCTATTTAATTTAGTGCCTTCCTTTACCTCTTCCCTAAATACCCATATGTGGCCAAAGCCCCTGTTGAGTCATTCTCAAAGTAAAACAAAATAATAGTGATAGTCCAATACAATGCGGAGTTCATTTAGGTTAGAAATTGAAGTGCAATCATGCTAATGATAGGCTGATAACATGGCTGTCTTCATTTAAGCCTTATTTGTGGTTTTAAAACAACTTTTTATTTAACACAAATGGATAGATACTGAATTTGACATAATACAACAAAATCATTAGTATGGCACCACTACATTTTTTATTATGAAGGTTGCTTGTATTTCTTAAATCACATCGAGTAAGAAACTCCACGTAAGTTTGAACTGAAATTCAATGATAACTGACACTTCTTTCAGAAAAATGTGTACCCACCTAGCTATGCTTTTGAAAGTTTGATTACTTCTTTAAAATGTCTTGAGACTGTGTAAAGAGTAAATAAAAACAGTGCGCTTAATTACCGGTTGACCAGGATCTCCGTCTTCACCCTTGTCACCACCAACACCATCTTGACCCTATAATGGGCAATAGAAAGTGAACACAGATATTTCTCGCTATGAATTTGCTTTTATTAGAAAAAAAGGGTATGATATCCTATCTGAGTCCCTGAGATAAATGATTACTAAAGGGACAAATAGAAGTATTACTAAAATCTTTCGATTGTATTTTAAGGATTGTGGTATCTCTCACTCTTCTGACAAAGATTTGTGAAACTGCGACCACATCAAGTTTAAAATACAGTGTGTTGTTAATACAAGAAAAGAAGAGGATGGAATTAGTGTAGAAGGCCAGTGGATCTGTTCACCATGAACAAATACGGCGGTTTGAGACAGTATTTGCACCAGAGGAGACACAGAAATAAAAGCAAAGATGCTGCAACTTTGAAATAAGAGTAATGTTGCTACTCAGATAATCAGTTCATACAATGCAGCAAAGTCTGGAAAACTAACCTAAATGAAGAAAATAATCATGCAACAGAGGTCTAAATGTCTTCAACTATATGGATTTTATAGCTGCAGTTTACATTTTCTTTTCCTTTCTATTTTTGGGGGTCCAATTAAGTAATCAAGAATTTAATTATTAACAACCAAGACACGGGTAACCTCCCCATCAAAATAATTCCTTTATTTTCCCATGATACTTACTGCAGGGCCAGGTTCTCCAGGAGGACCAGGATCTCCGGGAAAACCAACAGGACCCTAGAGGGATGTTTTTAAGAGAAAGAAGATAAATAAAAATATTTTTCATAAAGTCACAATATTCTGATGTTTAAGAGCTAAGTCATGGTAAAACCGTATGAGAGGATTTCCCTTCTCCCCACTAGAAAATGTTCAAAAAATGAAATTAATCGAGAATGCTTATGCATATATGAAATAAGGAAAAGTCAGCTTCACCAGCTATGGGCCAGAGTTTCATGATTTCTAATCTTTCTATGAAAAACTCCTAAGTGGCTTTGACATAGGCTCTACCTGAAAGGGACCAAGCTCACTTACCGGGTTACCCTTAGGGCCATCATCACCTGGTGGTCCCTTAGCACCAGGAGGTCCAGCAGCACCAGGTGCACCAGCTTCTCCTTTCTCTCCTCTTTCTCCTTTGGGGCCCTACAACAACGTAAGAAAAAGAATGATTACCTTATAAGCTGTAAATCAGGATTTCTTAGTCTCAGCCTATTGGGTCAGATAATTCTGCTGCTGGGGGGCTGTCCTGTGCACTGCAAAATGTTTAACAGCATCCCTGGTCTCTACTAATTTGATGCCGGTGTGTGACATCAAGTGTGACATTCCTCCTAGTGTGAACCAAAAATGTCTCCAGACATTGCCAAAATGTTTCCTAGGGGTCAAATTCACTCCAGGTTTAAACCAATCTAAATGAGAATTAATACAATCCTACTACAATTCATAAATGTGGGTTTGATGTAGCAGGGTTTGTGTCGTTCGTGGACAGCCCCCTCCCCCAAATTGTATAAACAGCTTATAGTTTTAATGTTCTAACTTATGCAAATGTCATTTTCTTTCAATTTCTATGTAAATCAAAATATGCGCCGGGTATGCAAGATTATTAAACAAATACGCTCTGCATTTGTGATTGTTTGTAATGGGTTGGAAAAGAAAAGTAAATAACTGAGTTACAGGTAGGAGTTAAGTCACATGTTTAAAATACTCTAAAAGGGGGATGCCTGGGTGACTCAGTCAGTTAAGTGTGTGACTTCGGCTCAGGTCATGATCTTTCGGTTTGTGGGTTCAAGATCTGCATTGGGCTCTCAGAGAGCCTGCTTCAGAAATTCTGTCCCCCTCTCTCTGCCCCTCCCCACTCTCTCTCCCTCAAAAATAAATAAGCATTTAAAAAATAAAATAAAATAAAATACTCAAAAAGGAATTCCCAAACTGTTACCATCCCATGTTGACAATAGGCCAGCACTTACGCCTGTGCCTGCTTCCCCAGGGGGCCCTGGGTTCCCTGCTTCTCCAGGCTCACCCTATAAAGAAGAGAGGAAATGAGCTTCAAAACACAGAAATGATATTTTTATGCTTGTAAAACTGCTTTCAATGATGGCCACGACATTTTAGACTAGACCTTAATTCAGTATATTGTTTAAAAGTCAGTAGAAGACTTTAAGAAGGAACTTTTCTTATTATTGACCTCAGTATTTTTATTTCTCAAGTGAGGAGACAGAAGTGGGTGTCTCAGCAAGTAGTTAATAGAGCATTAACCCAAGTTACCACCAAATCACACAAAACAGACATCTGCATGTTTCCTAACCAATTTTATATTGTGCTTTTGTGCTGCATCAATATTCATATTATAATTTAGTTTATTGATTAAATAACTTTAATTTTTACTATGTTAATTTGCTTTATCTTTACAATAACAAAAAAGCAAATCAGTTGGTAGTATACTGATTCTATATTCTATAAAATATATTTAATAGAGATCTGAGATCATAGAAAAGTACTGTACTTATACACAAAGATACTGAGATACTAATTAAAACTCCTCTTGAGGATATAAATATTATAAATTTGTTCACTTTTATGATCTCCTTGTATAAATATAGATGGCTAGAGGTGCCTGGGTGGCTCAGTCCGTTGAGCATCTGCCTCTTGATTTTGGCCCAGGTTATGATCTCACAGTCATGGGACTGAGTACCACATCAGGCTCTGTGCTGGCGACACAGAGCTTGCTTGGGATTCTCTCTCTCCCTCTCTCTGCTCCTCCCCTGCTTGCTCTCTTTTTCTCAAAAATAAGTAAACAAACATTTAAAAAAGTATGGATGGCTATTTCCTAGCTTAGCAGGCTAATAAATAAACCTCCTAGACTAGCATGTTTTAGTTATAAAAGTCTATTACTAATTTTCTACACCTAGAAAATTATTGTATCCAATTAATCTTCCAAGTGAAATAATGTTTCTACATTATTTTTACATGATGCTTTACAATAATGCTGTATTCCTACACAAAATCAGTGGAACTAGAAATTTTGAAGTGGAAATAGTTTTAAATTTAAAAAAATGTGAGGTCTGAATTTCCTTTAACTTTCAACTCTGCTCTTTCCAGTAATACTGGTATAAACCCATTGCTCCTAATTTTGGTTTGAAATGCATTATATTAAATATAAACATAACTCCAGGGGAAAGACTGTTTGGTGTACATAATTCCTTACTCTTTGAGAATATGCACATATTTTAATTTCTTGAGTTATTTGCATCATGATGGAAATATCAAGTATTTTCTAGGAATTTATTAGTAATACTAGTGTGTGTAAATTATTTTCTCTCTCAAGAGGAGTAGCAAATACCTATTATTTTAGATAAACCTTACAAGAAAAATATTACACTTACATTATTTAAAAAGCAATGAATATAAGCAAAATATAAAAAGTGTGACTAAAAATATGTAGTTATTTCCCCTCTAGTTCCAACTTTGGTGATATCACCATGCATAAGAAGATGTTTGTATTTGGTCAATAGATGACCTGTATTTTCCCCCAGCTTTACTTAGATATAAATAACAAATAAGAATTGTATATATTCATAGTGTACAATTTGGTGTTTTGATATATGTGTACATTGTGAAATAATCTATCTCGGGTGGATGGAATGATATATAAGTAATAGTTTTATGACCCATGATTCATAGCTCTGAAATAAAACTTAAGCAGTTTGTCATTCAAATCAACTATAAAATGTCCATATTAAATGCTTTAAATTTTAAATATACACAATATACTGCATGGTCTCACTTATACCTGGAATTTAAAATAGCCAAACTCATACAAGCAGAGAGTAGAATGCTTATCACCAGAGGCTGTGGTGTGGGGGGGATGGGGAAACATTGGTCATAGGTTACAGACTTTCAGATACACAAGATGAATGGGTTCTGGAGATCTAATACACAGCATTGTGAATATAATTAACAACACTGTATTGTATGCTTGACATTTGTTAAGAGAATACACTTAAGTGTTCTCATGCCACATTCAAAAAAGGTAATTATGTGAGGTAATGAATATATTAATTAGCTTGGCGTGTGGGGATTATTTCACAATGTACACATATATCGAAACACCAAATTTTACACTATGAATATGTATAATTCTTATTTGCTATTTATACCTCAGTAAAGCTGGGGGAAAATGCAGGTCATCTATTGACAGGGTACAAAACATCTTCTTATGCATGGTGATATCACAAAAGTTGGAACAAGAGGCGAAATAACTACATTTTTTATGTCACACTCCGTATATTTTGTTGTTCCACTTTAGTCTTTGTCCAGTGTAAAGTTAAACAAAAGTAGATTCTGTAAGGATTGTTTCCATTTTACTGAGGGAAATGATAGGTGGTAAACAGATGGATTTAAAATAATGATCGAAATTTAAAGACAAGTTTTTACTACAAAGTCTCTTCACTTTGAGAATAATGCATTAATATTCATTTGCCCAAAATACATTTGAAAACCACCTTTGTGTATATTAGAGCCAGCATGCATAATATAAATAGCCAGTACTTAAGATAAAATTAATATTATCTAAAATGTACCATATTAAATCTTTTGAAAGGGGATGGGGCAAAATTACAGGTAGCAAAATAAAATATTGCAACAAACCATATTATATAAATTGAATCTGCATTTCTGGCATCAACAAAGCTACACCATATTTATTCTGAAAAATAATAATTGATATACAATGATATATATCCTGTGAAGAACAATGCATATGAAGGAGGTTCTAGATTATAAATTTATTATTACTTATGTAACATTTTACCCCTTTGTAACACTTATTCAGGTTAAAATTCCCTTCAGAAGGAACAACAAATTGTAATCTAGTCACAAAGTACACATTAAATATTAAGGTAATATCTTTGTTAGGTAATATTTCCTTGTTTTGAGGAGATCATTGAAGTGCAAATCCATCTATAGCAAATATTACATTACATGGAAAACACATTAAACATATTTAAGCAAATTGGAGCATGACTCAGGATATTAGTTTTCTTTTCTCTCTTTTTTTATTGAATTAGTGATTGGGAATAAATTTTCCAAAATAGAAATGGGGAGGCATACAGCCAGAATCAAAGCTGATATCGGAAATCTGTAATCTATAGCAAACTATATTACCCTAGATTCTGAAGAAAAATTATAATTAGAATTTTATTTCTATCATGCCACAGAAAAACAATTTTACTAGAAAAAAAATTAAAACTCTTTTTTAGTGTAACAACGTTAGATCAGGTACATTTTAATTATAAGAGGTTAAAGCACTATCTTGGTTCACTGTATCATTCTCTTAAGACTCCAAGATAGACAAGTGTTACCAGATAGTTTTTAAACAAACAGCTTGGCCAAACTCCAAACTTTTGGCATCCATGTTTGTCACCAAAAGTAACATGAGATAAAATCATAGAAGTAACTGAAGTATTTAAACCTGTTCCTACTGTACCCACAAGTTTGAGGAAACCAGTAAAATAAACTGAAAAGGCTATTAAATTTAGAATTAATTTATTTAGAATTATTTCGGAATTTTCTATGTGGACAAAACTAAAACGAGAAAGTACTTGTTACAACTATCTAGTCAACATTAAAGCCAAGGGAAGAGGGGCGCCTGGGTGGCTCAGTCGGTTGAGAGCCAGACTTCAGCTCACGTCATGATCTACCAGTTCGTGGGTTTGAACCCCGCATGGGGCTCTGTGCTGACAGCTCAGAGCCTGGACTCTGCTTCAGACTCTGTGTCTCCCTCTCTCTCTGCCCCTCCCCTGCTCATGCTCTGTCTCTCTCTCTCTCTCTCAAAAAATAAGTAAACATTAAAGCCAAGGGAAGAAAGGGGAAAGGTGTGAGTCTGTCTTCATCTGTCTCAGACAGTTTTACCCTCAGAGGCCTCTTGCCTTTGCTGCTAATTCTTCCCATGACAACTGCACTCAATGAAAAATGTGCTTTAAATTTTACCTCAACTCACACTTTTTCAGCACAAAACATTAAATTTAAAAATATAAATGGTCAGTAAAAAAACTACACTGTTTATGCAGTAAGAATTAGATAATTTTCAAATGCTTCTAATTTCGTAATGAAGAAAGTATTTGAATAGTTGATAATACAGGATTAATTATAATCAAAATGGTAGAATGTGAGTGTTCAGTAAATATAAACATCAAAATACCACATTCTGATCTTATTGCATTTTTTCTGAGGGGTAAATCTTTTAATTAACATAAAGTAATTTAAGTCAAAACTCTTTAAGACCAAACAACAGAATCATTTTTAGGATATGTCTATACTTCTGATATCACTTAATAACTATAAAATTCAGGAAATACATTTTTTCACCGTATAATATTTTATGGTATGAAATGCAATTTTCATCCCTCAAAACTGGCAAATAATTTATATTTTTAAATAAGGCAAATACCAATGTCAATTTTCTTAAAAATTGTATTAAGAAATGAGCATGGGTGCATAAATAAGAAATCAGAGAATCATTTGACATTTTCATAAAAAGAAAGTTGTTTTAAGTGAAATCATTTTCAGGAGAAAACGAAGTTATTCTGAGCCCAGATGTTATGGCACATGCCAAGTATTTTGAAAAGTGCCAAAGACAGGTCATATTATTAGTAATGAAAATATAACTCCAAACATGACAAAATGAATGATTAATTCTTTTGTGATTCAAAGGATTCTTTTTTCCCGTTTAAGTCAGTCACATCAACCAATCTCTTCTTTTTGAAGAATGAGTGCTACTTAGAGACATTTAGTCTAGTCAGACATACATGGGAGTAAATCCTGACTTAGTTTCTAAGGACAAAACCTTGATGCAATTATTGAAATTCTCTAAACTTCAACTGTCTCAGCTTAAAAATGTGGATAATAATAATACCATCATCAGAGGTGATTGTGTAGATTAAAGGAAATAATCTATGTATATTGCTCAACACAATATCTGGAAATAAAAATCATGATATCTCAAAATCATATTTAACTAATATTTATATGAATAATTTAACTAATAATATGAATAATTTAACTACTAGAGTGGATGGGCTGTGATTCATATAACTATGTATAAAATACTTAAAAAGAGTACTATTAGATGTGCTTAAAATATTAGCCAATTTCATCAAAGTTCTTAATTCTTGCTGTTTCAAAGTGTCTAGCACTACATTTCTTACCTTTTCTCCAACACCACCAACTGAACCAATGGATCCTGGGGGTCCTTGTGGTCCCTGCAGTGGAGGAAAAGGAATACAGTTATCCTTATTCTTGTAATAAAATAACATATTCATAGATACATATCTAGTAGTTCTCAAAGAGGGAGAAAGATATGCAAGATTATTCTAAGACATTTAAACAATGGGACAAAATGATGCTCTTTATTGAGTTGCCAAATTTACTAGATAGCAAATAACTGAATTATATTATATGGGTTTTTAATTTCACCAGAATTTTGAATATATGACAGAAGACTTTCCAACTCTAGTCATACTGGCTGATACTCAGATCATAATTTCAATCTTTTTCCCATTGAATAGGTCAGATTTAGAGGATAGCTTGTAGATTTGGGGAGTGCATCTAAGTATGACTCTGGTTAAAAAGTATGTAATCCAGGTGTGCTTGTGTGGCTCATTCAGTTAAGCATCTGACTCTTGATTTCAGCTCAGATCATGATCTCATGGTTTGTGAGATTGAGCCCCACATCAGGCTCTGTGTGAAAGCATAGAGCCTGCTTGGGATCCTCTTCTCCCTCTCTCTGCCCCTCCTCTGCTCGTGCTCTCTCTCTCTCTCTCTCTCTCTCTCTCTCTCTCTCTCTCTCTCAAAATAAATAAACTTAAAAAAAAAAGAATTATGCAATCCATGCAAAAACCAATCTGAACCATCTCTTAGCCTTTATATCATCTCTTAGTCTTTATATTACTTAAAGGGAATTAAAACCCAAAAGCTCTTTTAGTACATCTGCTCTTTGTCTATTTTATCCAGTTCTGGCCTGCCCGAATTGCAACCAGGCATGACAGAAGAGCAACTAAAAACAAGAATAAATGATTTTTTCATTGTGAAAAGGTGAAATCAGAAGAGAGTTTTCAAAATCTAGAAATTTTTTAATGGTAACAATAAGATAAGTATAGCATTGCATTTCAAATCCTGTAATATTGGAAGAGTGGTTCAATTATGAAGCAAGCAAGAGAGCAGGGGGGAGACTGTCTTTATACAATTGAGAGAAAACATTTTACATGGTAAGAGGTGCACATATTATGCACATAATTCTCTAACATATTTTATAATGAATGTGAACTTGGAAATTCTTTTATACTTGTTTTGACTAATTCCCTACAAAGCCTGTTTATTTTTCTGTAAAATGAAATGTAGTGAGTAGATTATTTTTGAGCTCTTGTTCACTTAAATATTTATCAATAGTGCAATCATCTCCATTATGTCTTAGATACCATCCGCCATTAAGTAATACTGACAATTATGCAAGTTCAAAATAATGAACATATATTTCACAGTTCTTACATCAGCTCCATTGGGACCTTGAGGGCCTCTTGGGCCTGGAGGACCAGGTGGACCCTGTAAGAGATGAATATTAAGGTTTATTAGTGTCAAACCCAAATGCATTTCTGATATTTTCATTTTGTGACCAAGAAGTTTCACGCTCCAAAATCATAATCAGTGGACCATAGCAGGGTTATAAGTCATTCTTGATGGATACAACATCATGTTAGCAAATGATTCTCTACACATAGCTATGGGGAAATTCAGACTGCAGGCAAGTGATATGGTTAAAAATTTGAAAATTAGGCTATTGCTACTATCTGGTACAATTAATTCATAATGGAACAGAAATATGTTATACTAGAATATGCTAGATTTAAAAAGGAGCATAAATTTGGAATAGAAATGGTGCTTGAGTAGATTTAAAATTTATTAATTCTACAAAAGTATTTTTTATTTGTATATTTTGTTTTTTTTTTATGTCAGCTCTCATGTTCTATATGTTAGAAGTGAAATAAGATTAACTACTTAGTTGTCTTCCTAAGATAAATGTTCTTTCCCCTGGCTGTGCATTAAAATTACCTCAGGACTACTTTTTACAAAATACTGATGGCCAGAACCCCTTACCCTCAAGGTTGTGATTAAATTAGTCTGTAGTGAATACCAGGGCATTAGTGTTATTTCTAAAGGTCACAGTTTATTTTAATGTCATTGTTGGATACTTTCTTACTATTAGCTTGTACTAATATGTCAGAGAGAAATGTATTAATGATTCAGGGAACCACCATAGAAACCACTCCATAGAAAGGAGTTTTCTATGTATCTGATGCTGCTTAAAGAGTATTAGTCAGTTATGTGAGTCAGCAATGTTTATTATGTTCACTGTTTTTAAGTTCATTGTGATGAAAAGAATTATTTCTTTTTTGAAGAAAATAACATCTAAAATGCCAGTATAAAAATATCAAAATACGTATTCTGATGGAACTAAGAACTGGGGGCAATGTTTATTGAAAGGAAGGAACAATTAAAAATACATTCATTACATTTCATTATAGATTTCAATGACCTTGGGTTAATTGTTTCCTTATCCAAGGTAATGCTTAATAAACAAATATATGTATTTCAAAATTTCAGTTAACTCTTAGATTTATACTTAGAGCAGAAAGCCAGAATCGATAAATGCAAATTATTTTGTCATAGCATTCTAATTCAAATAGGATTCCTTATTAAATTAAGAATTTGATTAAAAGTACAAATATTTAATACTATGTTAACATTTGCTACTTATCCAAATGAAGGGTGACTATTATCTATTCTTTACCTGGTCCACTTCAAAGTCTGGAGCTAAAGACTAATAAATAACTGAAGTTTGGCAGTTTATATACACCTCAATAATCCATACACTTAGAAAAAATATATATGCAACAATATATCAACCACTGAATGCTGTATGTTTATAAAACATTAGTCCAAAGTGAGAAAGAGAAAAGAAAGCGATATGTGATGAAAGAAACTTCAATGGTCACAGATACAGATTGGGCAGGGAAAGGAGAAGGCATCAATCTGAAAAGTCATGGCTTTTAGGACTATTTTGTTCAGATTACTAACCCTTAAAGATATTAGTAATGTGAAAATTCACAATATCCATAACATCCTATAAGATATAAACTTACCATGGGACCAACATCCCCATTTTCACCTTTTTCACCAGGTGGGCCCGGCAGACCCTAAGAAAATATAATAAAAAAACAATAAACATCACTCATGTATTTAAAAAGAAACTTTTGGCCAATTTCTAATATAAAACCAAAATTAGATATAAAGTCAAATTAGAACATGAAATTAAGATTTAGAAGTTATCATGTGTCAAAATACTTGAAACGCAAGTATTAACTACATATAATAAAATCTTATATGTACATTTACAAATAAAATTCATGCTTTCTATAATATTATACTGTTTGATTTTAGTTACAAGGATGAATATATCATTTAACCTGGGAATTTATGGATGCTTAATCATTTGCTCCATCTTTTATGAACATATACACATGTATACAAGGCTGCCATTGCAAAGATTTTCTGAAAAAATCTTGTCCCAAATTATTTTAGAACATCCTATCCAGGTGAGGTTTTATAGTTGGGTACCAATGTGACAAAACTCTTGAAAATAAAACTTCCGATACATTTCCAGGATTATAAATATCTTCTGAATTTTTAACCTTGTTACTTTCACTTCTAGTCCTAAAAAACTACCAGGTTATAAAACCTGCTGTATTGCATTTCCTTTATTCTCTCAAATTCATTTCCTTGATATCCAATAGCAGTGTCACTGCCTTAGGAAGGGTTCTGTGTTACTGAATAAACTCACAGGGCAGGTTACACTCAAATTTCACTTATGTCTTTATGGGAAAATTATTTTATTTCCTCTTGGTCTTCCTAACTAGTTCTTCCATGCAGAACTGTTCATATTTCCTGTTTCATATCTCAACCATATATTGCACATACTTGAATTGTATACTTAAAAACACAATGATGTCACTTGTTTATATACTTACAATTATAAGCTACTTTGCAGTAATTATCAATATTTTATCTCTAGCAATTAGCAGAGGACCAGGCAAAAGTAGGAGTTCATGAAAATGTTGAATGAATGATGAATGAATGAATGAATTCTAAGAAAATAAATCAACAGGAAAAGCTACATGTAATAAAGTGTTGATTGTAACAGTAGCTAAGACTATTAAGATTCTCTATTATTCTAAATGTTTAATCATAGAAAACATAGCTAAATAAGTTTTGTTATATAAGATATTGGGATATTATAGGGCTATTAATGTGTTACTAATACTCTAAATATGAATGATATATAATAAGTAATAAAACACAAATATAAATAAATATGCATAGTGTAAATTTATCTGTGAAATATGTGTTTAAAATAGCCATGATAATTATTGGACAAAAATAGTAAAAGTGGCAACAGTTTTTAATATGGTAGGATTATGGATTGTTCTAATTTTTTAATGTTTTTAGTATTATTGCCATTATTTATTTACAACTTACACACTCTGTATATGCTTTATTTTTAATACTTGTAAAATAGTATTTCAGACATAATCTATTTAAGAAATAAAAATGCACAATACAAAGTTCTAAATCTCTGCTGGTATTTTAGTCACTTATTAACTTGGCACTACACTGCAGTGGCTACAAATTATTTGACCGTGACCCACAGTAATAAATACATTTCACTTATTACCCCCTAAATGTGCATGTGCAAAATAGCTGAAAGATGAGTTTCAAAAAGTAATACCCTTAATGCATAGATGATGGTGATCTCTGATATTTTTAATCTGTTTTACCTTATCCTGTTATATTTCATTTTTTTAATGCTGGTAATAACACACTATACGGTTTTTGTGACCTACTAATTCCACATGACTCTCAGTTTGGAGAGCGAGTGCTTTATTGAGTATATTTGTAAACCTTTTTTAATGTGGCATGTATTTATCTTTATGACAAAATCTTAGTTATGGATTTATAATGAACAATATATACCAGGATTTAATCTCCTTTTTCTCAAAAGTCACTTGGATGTCTAGGAAAATAGCCAGTTATTCCCAAATGGTTAATATCATTTGAAAGTAGCTTCTAGAATCACTGGAGAAGTTCCTAGGAGGACATAGCTAGGCAGTATTTTAGAGTTTAGCCTGCCTAAAAACTACCTGGGAGAGATTGCTAAAATTTTAGATTCCAAGATGCACAACCTTGGAGATTATAATTCATTGATAGAGCACAGAAAACTAAATTCTTAAGTAGGCAGGTAGATTTTAACATTTAATATTTCAAGTTGATTTCGCTAAGTAACATGGATTGCAACTTAAAGTATAAACATCATATAAATTAATACTCACATTCTTATCTTTTGTCTATGTTTCCACCACCTCCTTTTAGTATAGAGTGAATCTGATTTGGAATCCCCAAATTGAAGAGTATAAAAATAGTAGAGTTCATAGTTTTCTTTTATTTCTGTAACAGACCCAGCTCTGTATTGCCAGCATATTTTTAGGCATATGAGTATTCCTAATATTAGCTCGATAGGGACCTCCCAATAGAAAAACATTGAAATATTTCTTTCTTTCTGATGAAGTCTGGTTATAGTTTAAGTTGATTAAGACAGAATGTTCTTATCATTAAAATTAATACAGACATAATGAGTCAAATTCTTTTGTTGCAGGAAACTAAACGTGCTAAATGGCGCTACAGTGTTAATCAGTGTTCACATGCCCTAACTTTCTCCTAAGGAATAATTTATGCATGGAGATATTCTGTTTTAAGGTCTGTCAATTTAAAATCATTTGCCACTTGGGGCGCCTGGGTGGCGCAGTCGGTTAAGCATCCGACTTCAGCCAGGTCACGATCTCGCGGTCCGTGAGTTCGAGCCCCGCGTCAGGCTCTGGGCTGATGGCTCAGAGCCTGGAGCCTGTTTCCGGTTCTGTGTCTCCCTCTCTCTCTGCCCCTTCCCCGTTCATGCTCTGTCTCTCTCTGTCCCAAAAAAATAAATAAACGTTGAAAAAAAATTTTTAAAAAATAAAATCATTTGCCACTTAAGTGGTAAAATTAAAAAAAAAAAAAAGAATTCAGGTCAAGAACTATCCTTCTTTACATCTCCTTCATATGCAGACAAATTGTAAACATCAAACTGAAAAATGGAGTCACTTAATCAGAATATTAGATGACTATTATTTATGTATTATAATTGCTAATATCTATTCTGCCATGAAGACTCAATTAAAGGGTGCAGATGAAATTGTGAACATGTTAATTACATTAGCATCTTTTCAGATTCCTGATTTAAAGAGGTAGCTGTGGGAGAATATAATCAATTTTGTAGTGAACTAATTTCTTGAGTCACCCTCATCAAAGAGCACATTTCTTACATTTGTGGAGATGAAGGTAATTTTTCATTTAATATTTTATAAATATAAGCTACAAGGCATCTTCTTTAATCAGGAGAACTAAACTCCTAAATTACAGCCTTATAGAATCAGAGTAATCAGTTAAATGAAAAAGCAGAAAATGAAAGGTAACATATTTACTGGCAATCTAATTTTGAATGCCTTGTTGTTATTTTCAAATATGTGTGTTTTTCACACATGTTGATTTTTAGTATTCATAATTGATCATTTATTTTTGCCTAATAAATATAAAGGGGTAAACACAAATATGAAATGAAGTTTTTGCATTTCCCAAATCTAAAAAGAATTATTTCGGATTAAAATAAAAGCAGAAAATTACAATATCATGTTCACTGAGTGCTATAACAGTAACTATGATAATATACTAATTATATTATTTACAATATAATTTGTATAATTATGTATATAATAGGCTACTTAATATTAAAAACAAGCAGTCTATGACTTTACTTATGAAAATAAGGGCAAAAAATGAATTTATATAAACTCAACTTCTATTTACTTTTCTACAACTTAACAAATTGTTAAGGACAGTGATCTAGATGGTTTAATTTAATCAATTCTAAAATTGTTAATGTGGCATAACTCACATCCATGTGTTACCCGAATTATCATTTAAAGCACAATTTTATAATCTTTCAGATGATCACTAGGTAGGTGTAGAATAAGTATGTGAAAGAAGAAAGCCAGATGTTTCCAAAGTTTGTAGGAAGCCGTGAGCATCACATGGAAGAGTAGAAAAACAACTAAGCATAGAAGATGTCTACAATGCAAAGTATTGCCTAACAGTCCAGTTGTAAGGCATATTTGAATGAAGATTTCTTAGCCTACAATGATTTATAATTTCATATTTCTTGTCCTGAATGTGCTTCATGAAATACAAATTATAATTTAAAATAAGTTATTTTAAATGATCAATCTATTGCAAATTGTTTATTTTACCTATTATTGTTTAACATTTGTTCTTGGCAGTGTCTGTTGGTAGTAGTGATGGGCAGATGGCTCTTCTCAAAATGCTTTTAATTTTTGCTGGTCATCTGAAGTACTCATTTTCCTGCTATGAGACTTGCAAAAGAATCCTTCTAACCTCTCGCTTTTAACTCTCAGCCTTAAATAAGGTTGTAGTTCATTTTTTAAGCAAAATGGGAATGAAGAACGGAGGTGTAATACCTAGGGTAGGGCTAACATTTAAATAAAACGGTAATTACGGTTAAACATTGTATCCAGGCTTCTAGATAGAAAAAAGGAAAGCTACTTTGTTTTACATCCACCTGAAAACCTGGTATGAGAAGAAGGTGGACAGGACAGCGTACAAAATGCCCAGAGCATCTTACCTGAAGACCTATTGGACCAGGAGGTCCTGGGAAACCTCTTGCACCCTCATCACCCTTTTGTCCAAACATCCCCTGCTGACCTCGGGGACCTGGCTCACCATCACCCCCCTAGAGAAGAGCAATGACAATGATCACAAGCCGGAAAAATCACAATTCTGATACAAGTCATCACAAAAATATAGCTATTTCTAATTTAATCAAAGCTGGTCTATTTACAAGGAACCAAGTAAAAAAGATTAAATTTCCATTATCTGCTGCAAATGCACCACTGTTTGTTTGGTTTACATTCTTTGTTTCTGGAGCATGACTGAGTTTGATTTTCTCATCTATACCAAGTGAAGTAAAAGCTGTCTATCAAGGGGAAAATAATGTTCAGAATTTACTACAAATTAAGTACTTTTTAACTCATTATTCTTTTGAAATGAAGTCATAACATTTCTTGTTTATAAAGATCAGCCTGGTTAGCTATATTAGAAAATTTATATTTGGCTCAACATTAGACATAGTTATAACCACACAAAATCAACTGGTTATGTGACAGTTCATAAATTTAATCAGGGAACCATGAGGATATAAATTCGCTGAACAAAGAGAAATACTTACAGCAATTCCAGGGGCACCAACAGGACCTTGAAGACCTGGAGGTCCAGGAGGACCCTGTGGTGAGATAAAAATCAGTAATTTTGAAACCGAAGCCAGAAGAGCCTCAGCTATAATAGTGCAGAACATTTGATTGATCAAAGTCTATTATGCATCTTTCTACTTCTATGGAAAAGTCTCTTGCATTTGGAGCAGTCAACCATTATTTATTTTACTTCTTGAGACTCAGACTTGCCTATTTGTAATCAGCTTTGAATTGGTAGTTATCGAAAGCACTCTCATCTGTAATGCAGTGGATATTTAAAAATGGATTTTTATGCTAACACAAATCACATTGAAGTTTCACATTTGAAAAATTTCAAAATGCCAGATTTCTTTAATGAGATATGTATGATTCAGAAAGAGCACTTAAAAGATCTATCTATATAATATTTTCTAGTGAATATTGGGGTAAGGATTCCATACAGACAGAATATAGTGATACACAAAAATTTAGAATTTCCTTCATATGAAAACATATGCATATGTGTATGCATATGTATATGTATGTATGTATGTATGTATGTATGTATGTATTAAGTATACCAGGCCTCCTTATTTGAGCAATAGATTTCAATAGGTTTATGAGTCTTACATGCATAAATATTGCTTCTTAACTGTCTTTTTTTTTACATACATAACTACATACATTTTACATACATAACTACATACATTACTACACTACAAAAGATCCTGGCACTAAAGAAAAACAGTCATTGGACTATATTGTTCGTCACAATAACTGCTATGTGTTGGGAATAGTACTTAAAGGTTCCAAAAGCATGGTTCATAAACCATTGGGGTACCTGAGGCATTTTTAGGTTTCCATCAGGTCAAAATCCTTTTTATAACCACACTAAGACACCATTTCTCATTAAATCACAGGGATATTTGATGCAAAAGCAATGAAGGTAAACTTGCTGATGACTTAGTCTTATTGTGAGAGTTTTAGGGTTAGAAGTACTGTGTATCTTAACACATAACTTCAAAAAGAGGTTTAATTAGAACGGACTCAATCTCAACTGAATAGTTGTCAAAGAGATAATGTACTATGGACATTACAAGTAGGTAGTAAATACTACAGAAAAATATCCCTGGTCAATAGCCAAAAAACAAAACAAAACAAAACAAAACAAAAGTTAAATGAATAATTCCACTCAATAAGAATTAGGAAACTCACGTTTTCTCCTTTGTCACCCTTGCTGCCTTTCTGTCCTGGTTCACCAATTTCACCCTGTATTGGAAAGAGTTGAGTTAAAGTTTATCCCTAATATGTCATGCCTGCCGTTGCAATTGTCATCACTATCACCCATTATTAAATTTTACTTTAAAGTAATTCTATACTAGTGTTTCATGTCACTGTTTAACTTGTGAAATCTGGGGGCGCCTGCATAGCACAGTTGATTAAGCATCTGACTCATGATCTGGGCTCTCATCACGATCTCACAGTTCATGAGTTCGAGCTCCACATCATCAGGCTCTGCGCTGATGGCGTGGAACCTGCTTGGGATTCTGTCCTTCTCTTTTCCTCTGCCCAACTTGTGCTCTCTCTCTTTCTCAAAATAAATAAATAAACTTTAAAAAATGTAAAATATGGGTTTTCTCTGCTACTCTGTTTCTAATATTGATATAGATTGATATTGATATTGATATAGTAAAGATATAGATACCCCAAAGTCGACTGAACTTTGAAGCATATTGCAACTGGATTTTTAATTCACAAAATCAATTTTATCTGAAAAATCACCACAACAAGCTGATAATGGAAGTATATTAACAAAAATATAATTACATATTAATCAAAATTCTTAGTTAATTAATTACTTCTTTCTCCTGGTTTTCCAAATGCTAAAAATGTTGCACATTATCAGATTACTGGCTCATAAATTGTGTTATGGCATTTCACAATATTAGAAAACACCTTAGATACATACACATAACAATACAGCTATGCATTCAGAATCAAAAGCTTAAGGGGCGCCTGGGTGGCTCAGTCGGTTAAGCGTCCGGCTTCGGCTCAGGTCATGATCTCACAGTTCGTGGGTTCGAGCCCCGCGTCGGGCCCTGTGCTGACAGCTCAGAGCCTGGATCCCGGTTCGGATTCTGTGTCTCCCTCTCTCTCTCTCTCTGCCCCTCCCCTGCTCACACTCTCTTGCTCTGTCTCTCAAAAATGAATAAACGTTAAAAAATAAATAAATAAATAAATAAAAAAGCTTAAAATCTTCATTTCTACGTTTGGTAAAAGAGATGTCCAGTATTATCAAATAGGAATGTAAACTATTGTTTGTTTTTTTTTTTCTTAATGTTTGTTTATTTTTCAGAGAGAGAGACAGGAAGAGTGTGAGTGGGGGAGGGGCAGAGATGAGACAGAACTGAGAATCAGCAGGCTCAAACTCTGAGCCACAGCACAGAACCTGATGCGGGGCTCGAACTCAGACTGCGAGATCATGACCTGAGCCAAAGTTGGATGCTCAACCGACTGAGCCACCCAGGCGCCCCAGAATTTAACCTATTTTAAGTCTTCTTTTGCAATATCCAAGACACAAGGGCAAAGCCTATACAAGCAATGACTTCAATTAGTTTTACATTTAGTTCAGAAACACATATATTTGAAAATAAATAAGCAATTTTGCCATGCGCTATTTTTTCTCTGTACCACTTTTCTTGTGTTCTCTTTTTTTGTTTACATCCAACACACTATTTCCTGGATAGATAATAGTATTCAAACTGTAAATTAAAACCTTTGAGCACATGGAACATGCATGAAACTTTGAAAAAACTGTCTTGAGATTTGGCATCTAATCTTCAGAAATATTAAATCTAGGATTCTTGAGAAAAAACTTGCATTTTCATAGGATGTACTCATATGAATGCAGAATACCAACCTTGTCTCCATCTTCTCCAGGTGAGCCTGCAGGCCCAGCAGGCCCTGGGAGACCCACAGGGCCTTGGACTCCATCTCTCCCTGCAGGGCCTTGGGGACCTTTTTCTCCCTGTATTGAAAATCCAGCAGACCATTACTCTGCTGTAAGAAACCATTAAGTTACCTGTTTATTAGGATTTTTAAGTACAGCTGCAGCAGGTCATACTCTGAGTTCCAAACTTGACAGATAAATTATTTAATGTTAGCAAGTAGAAAATATTTTCAATTAACAAATGATGACACAAAAGATACCTACATACTTTCCTGACTAAGAACACCATCCTCGCTAACTGATGAAGGAGCATGAGGCAGGCTGAGGGGTAAAGCACAAGTTGGTGCTTCCCCGCCCCCCCCCCCCACACCCCCACACCCCAGGTGGAATCTGTGTGATATTCCTCAGACACTCCTGGCTAGCCAAGAACAAAGGAAAGGGGTTTAAGTGCTTGCCATGGTGATGTGGGAAACTAAGGCAAATGAAAAATTAAATTCCCTTACTGCCCACAGCCCATTGACAAGCCCTTGAAATAGGCAAAGTGACCTCTCTCTAGGAGCTCAACTCAAGGATCACACTCTGCTAGGGACAAAAGAGAACCTTAGCTTAACATTGTCCCAACCTCCAGGATCCTATAGTCAACTTCCTTTATCTCAACTGCACCAAGATATATACGCTGGCAATCATACTCCAAGCTTATGGTCCCACGATATACATCTAAAGGGTCTCGTGACTGAGGTTTTATTAAATGACAATAAATTGTATTTTCCTAGCAACAGTTTGCCCCTCAAGGTCCTGAAAACCTTGCTTTCAAAATTCCTTAGAGACTTACTCTATCCCTGACCCCCTCTCAACCTGAGGTATATAATGAGTTACCCGTCACCACACCATGCAGCTCTTCCTGCCCACGGGTCCTGTCCCCATGCTTTCATAAAATCACCTTTTTGCACCAAAGACATCTTCAAGAGTTATCTAGGTCATTGGCTCTGGAGCACCCCACCATCACCCCAAAACTTCATCACTAACAATTTATAAATCTCAGGCTATGGCCCACAAAAGTAATTGAGACTCAACTTAGAATTTTTCCTTCAAACTCACATTTCCTAATCAAGCATTGTATTTTGGTAAATCAGATGCTTGATGTTTATGAAAATTCACTGAGCTTTTACTTTTTTTTGGTGGTGCTACTGAAATAGCTGGGCTCTGAAACAGGCCTAAGAAATCATAAAATGCATTTTCCCATATAACCAACTTTTTGCTTTATGCATCAGCTTTTTCTCCTTTTAACAAATGCATCATGGATTTTCCTAGATTTTTATATTTTAATTCACTCCTGCCTTTACAGATTCAAAATGATAAGGCTGTTAGCTTTGTTTATTTTTTGACAACGGCAATATTTTCCTATTTTTAAAATACCTCTATTGTGCAATTTAAGAAAAAAATAGTGCCTTGATAACGAAGATGACATCTATTTTCCATTAAAATTTCTTTCCAAGTATAAAGTAAACTATCTCCTAAAGGTCAAGATTTCATCAATTTTGCAGAAGGTATATATGGCTGATTGTTCCCAGTGGTTCTCTCTGCTCTCTTGTTATAGAGGCTGGGAATCCACAATTCTTAAGCTCCTGCCTTTGTGTTACCCTGTTCCCCACCCTCCTTCCCTTACCACCTCCTGTCCCTTTACAATGACTAAGTTTTATCTGTTTTATCTCTTGAATGTATTTACTTCAGTTTATCTCCACCACAAACACCTTATCCCAAGTTACTATCAGCCTTCCTTTGAACAACTGAAATAACCTTTTTCTTTTCTCACATCTATTCTCACCTCCAAACTATTCCCCATGCTGTAACCAGAAAGACAATGAGATCATCTTACCAACATTCTTCAATCAGTTTACTTGTTTACCATTCCTAAGATATAGACTAAGCTGTTAGTGCAGCCTATCATTATCTATCTCCTCCTACCTGCCCAGCAGCATCTGGCCTTCCCTGTTGCACTGGCTTTCTAGAATTCCAACTCCCTCTAGACTTTTTTTCAGTTAAATCTGATTCCATGCTACTCCTGTCACTTTGCCTGAATCTACCTAGTTGGACCCTTCCCCTAGATAATTCCTCCTCACCTTTTACACTCTACCATCAGTGTCCTGTCCAAGGAAATGCCCTGATTCCAGCTCCATTCCGTTACAAGCTGACTTTTCCTTCATATCACTAGCCACAGCTTGTAATTATACATGTACTTAGTGGTCCTTCGCTTATTATCTAATTGCCCCATCAGGCAATAAATTGTGTGAGGGCAGAACTATGTCTGTTTTTGCATTCCATTGCATCCCTCTGGCCTGTGGCCCAGAGTAGCCACTTAAGGAATATTTGTTGAGTTGATTACTTACTGACAACAAAAATAACAAACTATCTATAAAACAAAGTTAACTTGTAAACCGATTTATTAATTTCTTAGATTCCATATGACCTGGTTTCTCAAAACTTTCCCCAATTATCATGCAAGACATACCCCTGGTGTCACCTTGGAGACCTTTTATTTCCTTTAAATCAAATATTGCAATATCTCAAACCTATTTATACTCCAAAGATGTGCTGTGTTATTCACAGGGAACTTCACTATTTTAACCACATCGCTGATTCAGATACTTCTCCTTAAGTGTGGATTTCTTTTAGAGCTTGGACTCCAAAAATCAATTCTTTTATACGAGAGTATCCATAAATAAGACACATTAATTCTTACCTGCCTTCATTATAGTACACATGATTGCTAGCCAAGAATCACCTGCCATTTATTTCTTCTGATTCTGGTCTGTGTGGAGTCAGGAGAAAATCTTTCAATTGCTCTACACCACACTAAATTTAGATTCTTCATTTACAACTCTGCAAGATGATAAACTCTTCCTCCATTATGTATGCATCTCCTGGCCCACAGTCTACGGGACTACCAGAAACATCGTCCATCTCTCCTTAAGCAGTCTTTATTTCATCATTTCTACCCCTTTGCTAATATTAACAGCTGAATCTTACCTTAACATTTTGATAGAAGCAGATACTCATCCCCATGTCCTTTCACTTGGCATGACCTTGTATTTAGCCTGTACCTGTACCCTATTCACAGAATCCACCCCTCCTTACTCAAAAGTCAATTTATTTTCTGGTTATAATCCACCCTTTTTGTGCCAACTCTGGTCCACAAACATGATGATGATGGCTCACTGAAGATTTATTATCACAATTCTACAAAGTAATTTAGAACTACCATTTCATCTAATCCTCACGAAATACTGTACTGATCTTCTTTTCCTGGGTTTTGGGAGGTTAAATAGCTTAGCCAAAATCATGAGCTAAACAAATTACAGACCTGAATTCCCAGCCGAATTCTGATTGGCTCAAAGTTGGCAGCTCTAGTCTACTCTGACACCCTTAACTTCCTCACTCTTCACTGGTTCTTTTCTTATTATTGGTTGTGGATAAATACATGTGCATCATAATAACAAGAGGCAATGCATTCAATTCTGCTTGTATTTCTACCTACTGTCCCACTATTTTTTAGCCATATGGCTTACTTGGGTTGCTCTACATGTACCTATCCCACTTCTTTATCAACCGCCTTCATTTGAACCCCACTGTAATTATCCATAAGAATTATCATGAATGCCCAACAGACCAAGTCCTGTTCTCTCATTTTCCTTCTACTCAGCTTTCAGTATTCGTGGTCTTTTCTAATATTCAACAAAGGATACTTTTTAATCTCTCGGCCCTCATGATGGTGTGCCCTGGATATATTTTCTAGCACTCAAGGACCTTTTTTTTAAAGCCATTTTATCCACATTTATGAATGAGTTTGTTTTAATCTTGGAGGATGAGAATTTTTTAGGAAAATTTATATGATTAAATCAAAAGCAGAAACAAAAACAGAGAAATCTTGACAAAGAAACGTAAGCCTAATGAACAGACTATAGCCCATAATCACTTAAAAATAAAGATTTTAAATCCAATAAATATAAGATAAAATAATTGGTTAAATGTTTTCCATGTCATTCACTGTAGATCAAAATTCAAATTACATGAGAAGAGCAGCCACTTTCTATGGGTTTCGTTTACAGACTTTGGAAATATTGGATATGAACTTGTAATACAAGAGGACTGAAAAGTGCATACTTCTAATATAAAGCAGCAAAGTATAGTTTTAATCAAAACTCCAATTTTATTTTTTAAAAGGAGCAAAATCAGAAGCCTTTTACATTCATAATATCCAACTCCCTCACAGGTCTTAGAGTTTCATAAAGTGTGGGAAAATGTCATCTCATTTAATTGAATTTGAAATTTTCTCTATTATAAATATAAAAAGAGGTGTGTTTATATGCCAGGCACATATGCAGAGAGAAGGCAGTGGAGTATGAAGAACTAATATCCTTGAATAAAAAGTAATAACTTGTGCAGAATGGCAGTATAATATATTTTCTCCTTGAAATTACTTACAGGAGCACCTTTCTCTCCAGCTGGACCAGGAGGACCCTGGGGTCCTGGACGCCCTGGCAATCCAATTGGGCCAGCTGTACCCGCTGATCCGCGTTCTCCTGGTGAGCCCTAGTACATGGGGAAAAAAGGTATTTTATTATTAGTGATGGGAAACTGGCTTAAGAATCACTTATTTAATAGTAGAGTCTCATAGTATAGTAAATAATGTAAAGTCACTTTTAGACAATTCAAAGATCTCAAATAGGAATAGTTGTACTATTTGAATGATTAATTTCTAGCCCCAATATTAAGCGCAGATATTGAAATTAGGAAACATTGATATAAAAATTTTAATTTTTAAAGCTTTAATGTTTACAAGTATCTTTTTTTTCATTTAAGTGTTCAAAATGGTTCACAATGCTTTATGAAACACGAATCCAATAAATAACTTATATGATTTACTCCTGTATTATTACGGATTGGCAGGATACATTTTCTAGGCTAGTATTTCTCAAAGCAATTTCTGGGCTTCACCTCAAACTTGCTGAATCATAATTTCAAAGTCCTAAAAAAGAGTTCAGAAATTGTCACTGCATTAGGCTACAAATATAATTTTTTACATAATAAAGTTTGATAATCACTATCCCAGAGATTGGACTTTTTCCCAGAAAATAGGTCCTTAATTTATCTTAGAGTCTGACAGGGATAGTTGGGTTTTATTATGAATACTGACAGTATAATTCATATAATTAGGTATGTCCAATTGAGTTTCAAAGAAGATGCCATATATTTTCAACTAATTTGCTTAAAAATACCTAATATGTAAACTTAAAAAGATAACATGTAAGACATTTAAGAAATCATTATTTAAAGAAAGAATAAAGGAAATGCAAACATATTTACTAAGTCATGTAAAGCTCAAGCTAACCTATTTACTATTTCCAACTTTATTTAATGAAAAATAACAAGAACTTTGTCTTTGGATTAGATCCCTGGATGGATGGCTAAGTTATAATTTGCCATTTTCTTTTGTGATTGAACTAAATGTGAAATATTAGAAAATATGATTACTAGCAGTTTTCCTTAAAATTAAGATATTTAGATAATAACATCATTTCAAAAATCATAGAAGAAATGACTTATAAAAGCTGGAGAATACAATACCTTAACATTTATTTTCTAACATTATACTTCCCATATAATTGGAAATCTTTTTATTATACAAATATGAATTATTGACTTTGTTCTAATTTATATTTTATTAGGTAGAGAATCAATTCCGTATGAACACAAGAACAGTGATAATAATGACAACAGTTTGTATCGACATAGTGCTTTACAATTTACAAAGCCATTCCACATTCATTTTGTCATTTTTATTCTCACAAAAAACCCACTGAGTTGACAGAAGCCTTAGCGTGTCAGTTTTAAAGGTGAGACCCCTGTGGCTCAGGGGTCATTTATCCTTCTCATAATCATGTAGCTAGTCAAGGGGAGCCTGGAGGGCTCAGCTGGTTAAGCATCCAACTGTGGATTTCTGCTCAGGCCATGATCTCACGGTTTGTGGGTTTGAGCCTACATTGGGCTGTGGGCTGACGGCATGGACCCTGCTTGGGATTCTCTGTCTCCTTCTCTCTGCCCCTCCCCCACTCATGCTGTCTCTGTCTCAAAATAAATAAGCTTTAAACAAAAAGAAAAATCATGTAGCTGGTCAAAATAAATCCTGACCTTGCACTCCTTGTGCTTTGTCCACAAAGCCACCACTGTTTCTCTCTAATGGTGATATCAGTGACTCCCAAGGGTTATTTAATTGGAATTTCTTTACATTTAGTGCCTATTCAATTGTATCTAAATAGTCAGTGATTACAAAAGATTACAAAAATATTTACTACTTAACTTCCTGATATGATTTTTTCTAGCTAAATTCACAAGGTACAGAGAATAGTTTTTATGCAGCCAGGTATCTGAATGCTAAAGCAATTAAAAGGAATTAAGAGACTATAGATTTGAGATTATTGGCAATAATCTTAAGCGTGCCACTAGAAAAAGTGATTTTGTCTTTAATATTTTGCTTGTTTGTTATAGGACTATTTGAACCACTGTTGTAGATTTTTTAATTACAGTGTATCTTAAATTTAGGAGACAAATAATTTGGAGAAACTCCAAAAATATGGTGAAAGAAATCATGAAATTTAAGCTTGATATAAACAAAAAGTGACATTTTTGAGCTATAATAAGTATATATTTAAAAACAAACCCAGAAATTGTTCCTCATATTGCATAATAATTAATCAAGAGTTGTTTGAAAATTAAATTTTCACCAATTACATATTTCAAATACTAAAGAAGAAACAATTACAAAGGAAAATTGCAGTTTTTTAGACAATAAACATCTAGCCTCTGTAAAAATGTTTTTGAAATTCAATAATATTAAAGAATATATATACATATATATGTGTATATATATATGTATGTGTGTGTATGTGTGTGTGTGTGTGTGTGTGTGTGTATATATATATATATATATATAT